TCCCCCCCTTCCCTTTTCTTTTTTTTCCTATCATTTTTCCAGGTAGGTTTCAGGAATAGGAAGAAAATTTATAAAAACCATGTCAAGTTGCCAAGGAAATTAGGACATGAGAATTTAAAATGTAGGAGCTGGCTGAGAGAGTAAACTGCTTGGATCTTACTGAACAAGAATAATGCTTGCTTCCTGTTAAATTCCAATATCTATTGTTGATAAATGAAGAAGAGAAATCAAGGACAAGCACAATGAAAATGGAAGAGCCTATAATCCTTTAGCCAAAAGCACCTGCTGTTCCTTTCACAGATTTGACCATCATGTTAGTAATAACTGTTAAAGCTTTCTCTTATACAGACTTTTGCATTAATAAAACTGTACTATTAAGTTTAATATAAACCTTTTCTGTTGTGCCTGTCATTCAGCGGCCAGTGCAGTCTTTTGGACAGACAGCAAAAAGGTCGAAGGTACAGTAGACTTGTGTGCTGGCATGCTAAGGAAGCCCTTCATGCTTGATGAAGCTTTGTTACTTTGTGAAAAGTGCCTTTAGTTTTATTTTTTGGCATTGAAGCTTTGTTTTATTCTGTTGGATTTTTGTCTTGCCTAGTTGTCTGCTTTTGTGGTTTGCCTTCATATTTTGGTGGCTTTTTATTGTTATGGAGAGAAATACTTTCCCAAAGATTTTATTTACTTTTCATTAGATGTGCTCTATTGTGCTGACAGTGCCTTTAAAAGCTGCAATTGCTTGGGTATTTTCTTCTTAAAGGAAATTATTTATTCTATTGAAAATATTAAAAATGCAGTTTTCAGCCATTTTGTTTTACATAAAATGAATGGAAAAATAACGGCTCATGGTATATTTATATAATTTTTTATAAGCCATAGTTTTTAATTTTACATACTTTCCTTTAGTCAAACACAAAGTTAAAGTTAGTTCGGAGCCTTGCTGTATGTGAAGAATATCCACCACCTCCCACAGCTGAAATATCACAGGACCTCCAGGTAAAAATCACGTTACTGAAGTTTCTGAAACAATTCGAAGTAACTTATTGTTCAAAAGAAAATCTTTTGGGTACTTTTTAAATACGCAGATACCATATGATTTTAACTTTTTTTAATACAGCTTTAATAGAGGTGGTAATATCAGATGAAGAATTTGCTGTTTTGTTTATCTGAACTGCAGTGGTTGGTATCTGGGGAACAGAAAAAAGGGTTTTGTTAGTGGTTTTAACTTTCTAGTATTACAGTGCACTTGAGGCAGTCTTAAACTGCTGAAGTGCTGTCTACCGTCAGTAAGACAGAAAAATGATTATTAAAATGCAGCATAATTTATCGGCTTTTTGTATTTAGAAAATGTACACATTTGTAGGTTCTGGTGTTTTAACTGAATTCCTGCATATTGGTCATAATTGCTAGTAGTTCTATTAACACATGCCTGAGGTATGTCTGAGGACTAATCTATTAAGATGATACAACACACTTACAGAAGTTCCTAATGCTGGACAAAATATGTAAAAATAGAGAATTTAAAACAAAATCTAGCTTTCCTGACTTTACCTTCATACCAGTCTGTATTTTTAGACCAAAATACTATTACTAGTTTTAGCTCTGTGTATGAATGAGGGACATCAAAATGCTTTTCTTGCTGCTCTTTTTTTCACTCCTAACAAAACTGAGATGATCCTTAGTGGATTACTCACAAAGCATGTTGACTTACTTTGCTGTTATTTGAAAAGCTTCTAAACTGTCCTTTTGTGAAAAGTCGCACTTTTTTTGTATATTAAGAAGCAAAATTAGGTCTAGCTGCAGGTTTTCTTTAGAAACAGTAAACTAGAACAAATGGCTTATGAATCCCAATAACTATGCAAATGATTGAGAGGACAAATTTAATTCTTCCCTGCAGAGTGGAAAAATACATGTTGAAGAGAAGAGTTAGAAGTAGGAATTTGTTACAAGTTCTGATGCTGGAGTGCACGTCCTCTGGGGCACAGGTCTTCCATGACCCTCTGTAACAACTCATGGAGGCCATTTCTTCACCCATTTTGCTTTCTTTCCCAAAGAATCTTTGGGAATGGCATAGAAGAGTTCTTCTCTAAGCACTAATCGGCTGCTGGCTGCCTCAAGCCCCACGCTTTGAAGCATGATGTGTATGCATTAATTGTGCTTGGGACGTGTGGGAGGTCCAGTGGCTAGGTGAAGTGAGAGACTGTCTTGCACAGCCCTCTCCGGTAGCATGAGAATAACCTCTGCGATTGCTTCCCCTTGCTGGAAAAGTCACTGTGTTGTATCGGTGATTGCAACTGAAAAATGGCTTCCAATTTTGTGTCCATATTTAAAATGGATTTTAAGAGTTAAGAAGAATAAAATTCAGTATAAAGTTGCTGATAATATGTGAAGAATACCAATTTTTAATGGTTAGAAAGTGTTAGCCTTGATGGAATGAAAACTATACTTACACAGCTAGGAACTGGTGTGAGTTTTGGGATAATTCTGTAGTCTTGCCTGTGACTGTTTATCAGTTCCACCTTCCACACTAGTGTGTACAGCAGCTCTTAGCAAGGTAAAACTCCTAGGCACATGCAGGTGTAGAAGTCACTTAGCAAGTCACTGCTGCCACTGCTGGCTGCTTCTCCTCAGAAGACTATAATGAAAGAGGTTGACAGACCAGACAAATTGTCTCAAGCAGATCAATTTATGTTCTGATACACTTGTGTATTTTTTCTTGAGCAACTGCAACATGAAAAAAGATACTGTTCCTCACTGAGAAACCTAGGTAAGAGCTCACAAATTTTTAAGCCTTAATTGTTAAAAAGCGCTGGCAGCCCTTTACTAAAAGGTGCTATGAAAGTACAAGCTTATCAATTTATTGCAGGAGGAAGAACGTAACTGATTTATTTGGTCTTTTATCTTTGTAAATACACTAGCTCTTTATTCTCTTGCTGTCCTTTGTCTAAATATTAGGTACTGGGGTAGTACTGATTCTATATGTTCTAATACGAAGTACGAACACTAGCAAAGGATGATCCATTTCAGGTCTTTTTAAAGAAGGGCTGTTTTCATATGAATGACAGTTATTATTATGGGTAACAAGTCAATAAACCTTCAAAACATTGAACTACTTCTTCTTTAGCAAAATAAAACAACCTAAAGGAAGGGGGGTGGTGGGAAAAGACCAGGGTCTGTAATGTTAGTTTATATTGACTTGTGTAAATTCAGGTTTTTGTTGGGTTTAGAGATTGCTGGTAAAAAGCCAGGTAAGGGCCCCAGGGTGTAGGGCCTTTGAGTAATATTCTGTAATGTTTCCTGACTCTTACCTTTTAAGCTGCAGAAATTTATCAGGTTTTGATGGTTTTGGGGGGTTTGCTTTTTGTTTGGCTTTTTCTTGTTTAATCATGATTTTGTGACAATTTCTTCTGCTACAATGAGGACTTCAGGTGATCTGAGTTACAGCGAAGAGTCTGTTAAATCAGTATGCCAGCAGAGACCCGCTACAAACAGGGTGGGATTAAAAGAATTTTAGGGAATAGAAGTTAAAAGATTTTTCAGCTTTCCAGTCAAGTAGGTCATATTTAATTAGATGCTACAGTTTTTATAGCATGATATCACAAGAAAGTGCCCTTTGGTACAGTGTTCTGTTGTATCACACTTTGAAGTAGAATTGGTGGTAGTAGAAGAACTGGCTGTTCAGATGGCTATTCCTTTTTTAGCTCTCGTTGGGAAAAGAAGTATGAAAATGATTACTTGCTGAAATCCTTTGACTAAACTATTGCTTTTACTTCGGATGAGTTTAGAATATGTAGTCAATTTTCTACTGAAGGAAAATCAGACTATGAAAATATCCTTAATTTACTGATAGTTTTGTAGAGTATTATTGTAAAATGGAGAATAACGTATTGGTGGATCCAAGTCAGAAATAATTTCTTAATAAGACATAAATATGTTTGTTTCTTTCTTTTTCAAATAACTGCTATTAGGTGAACAGTAAGTGTAATGCACTTTGTAGTGACAAATAAATTGCTCATTTGAATTATGTTCAGGTTTATGAGGTGAGGAATGCAATGATTTGTTTTGGACTCTTTAAGGTTTGTAGTCAAGTGAATTCTCAAGACTAGGAAAGAATTATACAACACATTGTGATTGGTAATGGTTTTTATCAGACTTGGTTATAGATAACCTCATAAAAGCTGAGAAGTCTTCACACTTGTAATGATGTTTTGTAGGGTGTTCATGAATTAATAAGTTTAATTAGAACATGTAATGTGGGGAAAAATTATAATGAAAGGGAGAGCGATAAAACTATCAGCTAAGCTTTTTTCCTTGTTTGAAAAAGTTGTTACTCCAAAAATGCATATTGAAACTGGTTTTTAACCATAACCTCATTAGTATAGGGTTCTCATTGCCCAGGTCTGAAGGGACCAAGGTGGAGGGAGCAGTTAGGTGTGCTAGGGCAGGGAGGAGCATTACTGCAGGTTGTGCAAGGATGTGTTTGCGTGTGAAACAGCCTTTAGCCTCAGTGAATCCTGACTATATTTAACTCTGGCCAGCTTACATGAGTGAGATCAAGTCTGTGGAATGACACACGAGGAGAAGCTTAAAGCAGGTGCCCGGATATGGGTAAGAATGGGTTTGAAGGAAGAGTGAGGACTTGCATGGGAAAGGATTAGGTGCAGGACAGAAGAGTGATAGGCAAGAATGGATGAGGAGCAGGTTCTTTGGGTTGGGAAGGATCAGATGTTCTCGGGTGGGTGGGGTGGCAGCAGCAACTCAGTTGGCATCTGGGGGAGCAAAATTGACATTTGAGGGAGTTCAAAATAAAAGGTAATGGGGGACTCCTACAGGACTTTGCCACTCATGCTCTTGGAGTCATTCAGACACATGGTGTCTCCATGTGAATTCCCCTTACTTCCTCTGTTTTTGCCATCTGAAATATGTTAGTCCTTCACTGACAATCTTGTTAAAGAATAAAGAGGCATGAAAAACAAATTAGTCTTCCATTATTTAGGGAACCATGATGTCACTATAATTTCAAAGGGAAGCTCTTTTTTGCTGTATTTGGCAAACAGGTTTTATGATAGTTCACCTACTTGTAAAAAAACATGGATTTTGAGATGATTACACACAAAGCTACTCTGTCAAAATATACAGGAAGTTAAGAATCTAAGCCTTGATGACAGTAAGGTTTGCAAATTTTGCCTTGATATATCTGTATCTGTAAATACTGCCCTTCTTTGTGGGTCTGGAAATGCTGGTCTGTCTGAGATTGAAACATTTGGTTTTTTTTTTTTCTTCTTGGAATAAACCAAATTGAAACTTGAAACAGGCTTTTATAGTCAAAAACTCTGAAGAATGGGGGGAAAAAAGCATCGTGGATGATGCATTACTTAAAAATTTAGAAACTGCATAAAATTTATACATCTGAAAAACTGGAATATTTTCATATGTGTATCAAATAAGATACTTTGGATTCATTTTGAAATAGCATTCAGGGCCTGGAAGTGTATGTAAATTCTAAAACGTGTATGGTACCTTCTGTGCCTTCTCTATAGTTTTTGATTTACTCATAATTTCATTTTGTGGTTGTATAAAGTACATGTGGGATCAGGAAGAATATGAAGGCAATTATTTTCCTTGTTACTTCTTTATTTTGCAGGTAGTATAGTACAAAAGAGTTCTCCTGCAGGTATTGTTTGAAATAATTTCCGTGATGACTGATTTTTACTTTTGACAGGAGAAAATTCAGATCCAGTTGTCACAGTCTTTTGAAAAAGAAGAAAAGCCTGCGAAAGATGAAACGGAAAAGGAAAAATCCAGTGATAAACTGTCCAGAAAAATGTTATCAAGAGGTTTGCTATCTGTCATTGTGCTTTTAAATGTACTGTGTAGATAAAGAATATTTAGAGAAAATACAGTTTGCTTCCAGGTCATCATCGCATAAACATTGCTTTTTTTTTTTTTAGCAAATGAAGGAAAATAGATCAGATATCTTTGAGCTGGAGAAGGAATTGGTCCCAGAGGATACAGTGCTTTCGAGGCTTCATCAAACACGTGTTACTCCAGCAAATGCTTTTCCTTTTTTGCCTGTCTAGCTATGCAGACCAGCGTAAAAGCAATTGTGTTGCCTCAGTTGTGTCCAAGTGTTCTTTGGAAAACTGACTTTACTAGTCAGTAGAAGTTATCTTATTCCTAGACTTTGTTACAGGATTTGCGAAACTTAAGTGAGAATGACAGCTACCTTTGTACTGTTTCTGGTCTTTATTCAACAGAAGTCAATGTTCTTGTTTGTTTATTTATTTTACTTTTGATAGTATCTAGAATTTTTTTATAAAGTTTTGGAGCAAGGGTGGAACTACATAAGTAAAAATGACAAGTATTATGTTTTCACTTTAATATTCCTGCATTCTGGATTGAAGATCTGTTCAAGTTGGGAAGTCACTGTACAGCTCTTACTTTAAATAAAGGATCCAGAATGTTTACCTGAATACCTTAGATCAACCAGTGTGTAGGAAATATCTTTAAAGCTAGAATTCTTTTTGAGACAGGTAGCACTTGTCCATCTTGTGTCCCTCAATTCCATAAGGCCTTCCTCATGTGGCATTTCAGTGCATCTTGTCCCAGCTGGCAGCCAGGTATTTGTGAAATAAAAAGCACTGGGATGGAGAACTTAACTGCATTTATAAATCTCAGTCTTTGAAATGATGCCTTAAAAAAATAGGGTGTTCTTTCAGAGCTCACTTGCTCAACCTTTAAGGTACATGCCTACCTTCTAAAATTAAGAAAAAAACCAAGCCCGCCCCCGAAAGAAAACACCCAGTGTGTTAGGTAATGATGAGTTGAGAGCAAAGTGACAAAATGACTAAGGTAGAGGTAGCTGTTCTAAATTCACCCAATAAATATCTCCTCTGGAGGTTAATTACTTCCCAATTTAGGATGTGCCAAAATAGAAAATGATGGAATTTAAGCATCAGTCTTCTAGTAATTATAACGAAATTATTGCTCACTTGCAAATTAAGAAAATTAAAGTAAATAATTATTCAGTCTTAAAGTTGTTTTACCAGACGTACCCTTCCCCACCGCCCCTCAGAATCAAAAGTAATCCCGAACCATAAATGCTCAAACTTGCTTGGTTTCATTTATACTCTCTTGATAATATATGGGCAGGATTGACAGCATAATAAGCTCTGCAGATAAAGGAACCCACTATCATTCTTCTTTAGGGAACTAGAAATTCCCTGTCCTCAGGTGGACTTGGGATTTCCTCCAGGAAAAATTTAGGTCTCATTTTTGAAGATTGGACACTTTGGTCACCCAGTTTCCCACTACGCCAAGAGGCTGCTTTGCCGGCACTGTTGCTTCTAATAAAAAAGCCTGCATAGATTCTGTCTCCACCGAATCCTACCCTTCTTTGTGCAGTAGTCCCCTCGTTTCTAATAGAAGCTAATTTGCAATGACTGCTCTCTGTACTGACTGCACAAAGACCTGGAATAGCTAGGACCTAGGCATAAGTTTGAGCTGTGCCTAACTTGAGACTAGGTTAACACGTAAGTAGTTCTCGGAAGAAACCTAGTTCAAAAAGTATGTTAAAACACCTATAGCTTTGAATTCTAAGACCTGGAACGCTGGAAGGTGCTCACGTAAGGGAAGATCTGGTGTTAAATAATTTCTTTCAGTGACAGATTTTAGAGAACAAAATGTAACTTTGAATACTTTGTTTCGCTGAAACCAGACAGGAGGCAGAAGGTTGTGAGACTTTTTTTTTAAAACTTCTCAATATTATGTTGTGAAAACAAAGCCCAACAGAACAAGGATTTTTAATAATACAAAATAACATTTGTGAAGGTTAAACTGTTACATTCTGAATTACAGTATTTCTTCAGGCAACGTCCAGTAATTCTGTAGATCAGCTGCTGGTCCACAGAAGTGTATACAACAGTGCAGTGTAGTGTATTGAGGAAACTTGGAAGGTTGATGGAAATCAGGTGACTCAAGGTGATATACTGCTTTGAAATATATAGCAATTTGTTAATAGATTGGCAGTGTTACTAAAGCTTTTGCTTCTGCTTTTGCTTTTACACTTGAATTAGGGGATTGGTGATGTTGTTGGGTTTTCTGTTTTGTTTTTTACTTGTGAGCCTTTTCCCTGCAAACTGAAAGTGTTTAATTTTGGGAATAACATGCCTAATATTTATATAGTATTGATCCATAAATAGTATGTTCAGCAATAATTGGTAAAAAAATAGTATTAGTGTTTATTCAAAGTGTAATTTTGCTCTCTTCCCCCTCACCTTTAGATTCCAGCCAAGAGTATACAGATTCCACTGGTATAGATCTTCATGAATTTTTAGTAAATACTTTAAAAAACAATCCCAGGTAAGCATCAGTAATGTCAACTTTCTGTTTTTCTTTCTCGTTGTTGCCTTAGGTGTCACACCACGTGGTTTTTTTGTTGGTTTTTTTCCCCCTCTTAAATGTCTAACACTACATGTCAGTTATTTAGGTTGAGATTTTGTTGCGCAGGCTATCTGAAACACCAATCCACTGTAATTTGTGTGTTATATGAATAGAGCTTCAGGACATAGAAATAGTTTAAATGCTTTTAATGTTTAATAGGCAAATAATGAGTTCTGTCTGTGTGCAGTTCTCTCCCTGAAGGGACTCTAATACTATGTCTCTAAAAGTTGTATTCTCTTAGCTTGTTAGAGACCAAACTGCCTTCTCTTACTTTAATCTGCCTTGCACTGAATTTATAGACAAAGGAATTTTTTTTTAAGCTGTACCATATAACCATAGTTAGAGATATACATTCACTCTGCACATCAGAAACCAAATCTGACCTAATTCAAGTCCATTATTTGTTAGCAACAGACTTGACATGGTTCTGTTGCTTTGAGGTTTGCAGTATGTTCCTTTCTATCTTGTTTGTTCTTTTCCTCAATGGGGTTTCATACTAGGTCTGTGGCTATACGTACAAGGAAAGAAATTAACTCGGTGGAATTGTGCTGCTGTCGTAGTAGCTGCTATTTGTTATTCAATCATATTATAGTTATGATTTCCAATGTGATAATTTATTAGGATTCCATTTTATTGGCAAAAAAAAATGTAAAACGAGCTATAATAAGGGGCCAACAACATTTTGTCCTATAGAGTAAAAATAGAAAGCATGGACCTCTGCTAGACTTTTACGTTGTTCCTACTTGAAGTCATAAAGCATCACAATGAAAATAAGAAATCGTAGGTGAAGGTCTGCTGTGGGTTTACATTACTGGGAAGCTTAGATATCTGATGTGCACAAATTATGAACTGTGCGACAATTAATTTAATTACATGTTAATGATTTATTGGAACTGGCTTAAGCATTTTTAAGACTAATGTTCATTTCTATCACCTTGAGTTTTAGCTTTTTCCGTTTCTCGTAATATCTCATCACATTGCAATGTGTGCCAGCTTTTAACCACTTTTAACACTTGTTGGTATGTTGTAGTAGTGCCTCCCGTTATCAGTACTCTGTCACTCTGTGTCTCAATGATCCCGTGATGTGCTTCACAATCCAAGGGCCAGTTCAGGCCTCTGCAAATCTTACTACCCATGGTAACTAACAAGAAACAACCTAGTCACTGCTTTTACTTCTTCTTGAGACTGTCTTGTCAAAAACTGTGCTTTCTGTTGAGCCTACTGGGCAGAGATTACCTGAAGGATCTTTGTATTCTAATTTCTGGGATGAGAACAGTATGTTTCACTAGATGGGTTCAATACAATATAGCTTAGTGAAAAATGAATACTTTGACCTAAAAATACTGCATTTGACACCTGGCGGTCCTATTTACAGTCTACCATCATCCCTTGGTCACAGATCTTATCTATGTATTCTTAAGATGAATACAACTGCAGTTATTGGAGTGTCTCATATGTGAGTTGCTGTGTTTTTATTTTCAGGGACAGAATGATGCTGCTGAAATTAGAACAGGAAATTTTAGATTTCATTGGTAATAATGAGTAAGTACTGTACTCTTATAGGAAAAAAGAATTCAAGAGTGTTCCTGTTTATTTAATAAAGCTACTATTCCTTTGTTCCAGAGTTCCAAGAAAAAAGTTTCCCCCAATGACATCTTACCACAGAATGCTGTTGCACAGGGTAGCTGCTTACTTTGGATTAGAGCACAACGTGGACCAGAGTGGGAAGTCAGTCATAGTAAATAAAACTAGCAATACAAGAATGTAAGTGTAAAAGTCTTCAAAAAACTTTCTGATGCATAGATTTAACATCTGGGATATATTATGCAATGATGCTGCATCTGTAGCAGCAGGGGTCTATCTACTCATTGGGAACCATGCATCAAGGAGAGGTAGTTGAAAGGTCTTTACTGTTCATGTTCCAGTGCTGTGTAATAATGTGATCTGTTTCATGTTTAAAGGATGTTATCTGTAAATTAAGAATTTTTGTTGCTTTTTTCACAGAGATGCATTGCTAACTTTGTTTCCATTAAATATGAATTTATATCAACTATTTATCTGTTTAAAGATTTACACCAGTAAAGAGTACAAAGTACATTCTTTGTTTCTTTTGGAACGCAGAACCAGCCCTTAACTTAGAACAGGGTCATTTCTGATTTGATGTAGGGAGGGGACAAGACTTGCACAACTTTTGGCTTTTGTACTGTAAAAATCTACTGGGAAAATTCAGGCATTGAAGGCTTTGTTGGAATAATGTTGTTTACAGATCTCACATGGCCTTACAAAATAAACGTAGCAGGGAAGACAGACATCTCATCAGTGGGAAGTGTCAACCAAGTTAACAAGTCATGGCATGTCATTTTACTGTGAGGGCTGGGGAGTTTTTGGAGAAACGACTAGGCAAATCCATATTACAAAAAAGGTAGCACTGGGGCCACAGCAACTCCAAAACCATGTGTAGTTGATGTTTTCATTCAAAGGACCCAGTTGTTCTCTCTGTCCTCTGCGCTTGCTCTGTCTCCTCAGTCTCTCTCAGAAAGACAAAGGACTAATGTGTTGGTATATTTATGCCACCTACTTTCTAGTTTTAACTTTAAAAAACCCCAACCAACCAACCAAACAACAACCAACAAAAATGGTGTCACGCAAATGCTTTACGTGCTCTATGATTTCAGCATGAAAATAGGAGTTTACAGCACCTGCATCCTGATCCCAGTCTCTACGTACACTCTCCATAGCTTTGGGAGAAGAAAATCTAATTATCCACCCTAATTTTTGAGTCAGTAGAACTTAGGTAATATACCACACTGAAATTTCACTTAAGTAAACAGTTTCCTCCTCAAAAGTTTCTAGAAAAACATATAGGACCTAAATACATGTTAAATAACTCATGTATTCATGTATGTGTTTTTGCTTTAGCTGTACATTCTCTATCTAAATTGACTTATAAAGCCATACATTTCAAATCTGTTGCCTTTGCATCTGCCAGCATCTCTAGACTGAAGCTTCAGTCTAGCACTTCAAGTGTGGAATAAGAACTATTAAAAGATGATTTCTTCATTTTTATGCATTTTTTTTCTAGACTGTATTTAAATAGCTTATGGCCTCTGGAAGCCCCCTATAGGTGTAGTTACTAATTAGCAGGCATTTCATCTAACCTGCAGACATTAAGATTCGTAATGTTTTCAGTATTCTTATTTTAAATCGCTTTGGATATAAAATAAGAATTTAGAAAGAAAACCTTGGAGATCTGCTCCATGTTGAATAAAACCAAACTTACCTTTTCCTCATAGGCAGATTCCCGGCTCCATCGCCGATCAGTGATGTTACTGACATCAACAACCCAGTGCATACTGGGACGTCTCAGTGAAGTGGGAAGTTGGTGATTGCAGGGCAGTAAATTCAGGGACCTTTAAAAGAAAGAGGTAAGACAGTCTAAAGGTTCTCTGAAATGCCTGCTAATTATGTTTGGGCATCCAGTACCTAATAGTTAGGTTTGGCTGTTTTATAGAAAAAGATCTCCTGATTATACAGATGTTCTGGGTAATGAATAAAGAAAAAGAAATAGAGAAGAGTATACATATGTTTTTTCTTTTATTAGACAAATATTTCCTGATTGTCTGAGAACTTCTCTTACAATAGTAGTAGTTTTATTGTCTAGGTACTTGGTATCTATTTTTAATAACAAGAGTTCGCAAAATATCTCATTTTCTTTCACTAGGTAGATAGAATACCAAAACAATATATATACATAATCTGTTGCTTCATGCTCTCACTGTGATCTTGTAAAGCTCTTCCTTGCCTGCGTTGTACTGTTCTTCTCTTGCTTATTTCTACTTAATTTTATTTTAGAAGTTTGTAAGTTTCAATGCTTTTTCCTCTATCTTCTTATCTTCTGTTTTCCCTTGAAATGAATTCTGAGGTATTACAGCTCTAGCAGAAAGCACCTATCTTCACTTCCATGCATGCCTAATATCCATTGCATGGCACCAGTCTGGATTCAAGAGCACTTCTGATCCCCCAAGGGCATGTGGTTTGCTTGCCACCTTAATTGGAAATTGAAGCAAAAGCTTCGAAGGAGAAAGAGATTTTAAAAGCAGGTTTGTTATGCCTCAGGAACAGGACTTGTCAGGGGTACACATCATCTTACGTTTTTTGTACCTTTTCCATTGCCTGGACAACCAAAATCTATCACTTCAGCTAGAATATTAAGTATATTTAACATTAATCTTGAGTATATTTCAGTTTGTTCCACTGTGTATAGTATATGTTTACAAAACCATAAATCTTTTCTTTCTAACGACTTTTCACAGACCTGACCAAAAGTTTTGTGAGCACATAAAGGATGAGAAAAGTGATGACTTCCAGAAGCGGTACATCCTTAAAAGAGATAACTCTAGTTTAGACAAAGATGACAACCAGGTAAAATACATATGGATTATTATTTCCTTTCACTTGCTGTATTTGACTGTGTATTTATACTCTTTTCCTGGAGAAGTTGACACTGTATCACTTAATTTAGATGAGAATACGATTAAAAGATGACAGAAGAAGTAAATCCATAGAAGAACGTGAAGAAGAATATCAGAGGGCTAGAGAAAGAATATTTGCACAAGATGTATGTATCAAAGAAAATCTTACTTTGTTTTGTATGAATACTTCACACACATACACACATATGTGGTTTTTGTTAAAAAATACTTCTTTCCAGAAAATTTTGTGTTTCTGAAGGGGACTGAGCAGATAAAAATCATTAGTGTGGCCTGAGTGAGTTTTAAATTATATTGAAGTTACTGAGAAATCTTCTGTTTTCTCTAATCACTGCTGTGTGAAACTCAAGCAACCTTCAAGAATTATTTTGGTGCATTATCTAGCATTACCTATTTCAATGCATTATTTTGCCCCTTACTGAAATATAAGTTACAGAGTTTTGGTACTGCAATCATTTCAGTTGTTGCTCAGAGCAATTAAAAAACAAAACAAACAAACAAAAATCCCACACACATACACCACCACCACCCCCCCCGGCCATTCTTCTTTCACGTACGAAAAAAAAAAAAAACCACAAAAAACCCCAAACCAAACCAAAAAAACCACAACACCCAAAACAAAACCAAAATGTTGTTTTTTCTCACTGGTGTCTATATCAAACACATCTTATGACTGGTCAAAGTAAAATGATTTGAATTTCCATATGTGAAATTTCAGAAATCCGGAAGTCTAGTCTCTCTTGACTGGAGTTATCAAGCAGGACAACATTGTAAACTATATAATTCAATCACAAGTAGTGATTATATTTAATTATATTGAGTGAAAAAGAACAAATATGTCTTCAAAAATATGCGTTACTTCTAATAATCCACTTTTTCTGACATTTGTCTGTAGCTCTTACACATCCAAAACCAGATTCTTGTTCTGAAGAAAGAGTAATGATCTCTAAGAGGCTAATTTGCTATATCCAAATACTTTCCAAAAGCCTTTTTTTTGTTCACCTTAATTACGAACAAAAAGAATGGGCTTTTGGATATAAAATTACCTTTTCCTTTTGCATATTCATTTACCATGTATTGTACCCTTAGAAGCTTTGCACCAAGTGTTAGAAGTCACAGTCAAGGACAACTAATTGAAGTTAATAATAGTCTTTTTGATTGTACATTCTGTCTGCTTTTTAGCATATGCGTACTTGTGCCCAAAGAACTCAGTACAATTACTGCAGTAGCCAGTGTCGTCATCTACTTCACACTTTCAAACAGAAGACAAGGCAACTCAGGTGGTGTTAGCAGACTTGTGAAGTCACACATCAGCTGGAAGTTACATGAGGCAGCGAAGGCCCAGTGGAAGAATTGTAACTTCAGAAAAATACTGTTATAAACAAAATAGTCAGCATTGTAACTATTCTAATGCTAACTTTTATTTCCTGCAGATGGGCCTTTTTATATTGTCTTTTTTTTCCCATAACATGGAAATTATCCACCAAAGAAGTTAAGTTTTCAGGCAGCTTAATATAAAGAGGGTGTTGTAAAAGTCTGTGTAGAATACAAAAGGCTCCAAATAGCGGTATGTTTGTTACTGCGCTGTAGTGTAGGGGTTCTAGATGCCATTCATATTAATTTCTACACTTCTTTGCCCCTCAGTCCCTGTGTTCCCAAGAGAATTATTTCACTGATAAAAGGTAAGAAAATTTGCAGTCTAATTCTGTTTCATTTTCCTATTTTCTTAATAAATATTAAGCTATCTTATTAAAATGTCAACAGAATCCAGGAGGAAGAAACTAATAGTACACAACAAAGACGACAGATACTTAGGTATTTGATGCTTTCTTTAAAAAAAAATAAAATCCCAAAGTATTCTGCATGCATTTCACCTTTTCTTTTCTTTTTTTTTCTTTCTTTTTTTCTTTTCCCTTATTTTGGAATTGATGCTTGTGCTAAAAGTTTAGTTTATAACTTACAGAATCAATAAGGAAACATCAGGGAGATCAGCCAACAGCCATCAGAGCAGTACTGAGAATGAGCTGAAGTATTGTGAACCCCGACCCTGGAGCAGCACCGACTCTGATAGCTCCATCCGCAATCTGAAGCCAGCTGTAACGAAAGCCAGCAGCTTCAGTGGGATATCAGTTCTGACAAGAGGAGATAGCTCTGGAAGCAGCAAAAGCACAGGCAGGCTGTCTAAGACAGGTATAATAAAATCTGTACAAATACATAGTTACATAGCAGTGAAGTACCTGATGGTTTGATACTTGATGCGTATTGCAGATGTGTACATATGTAGAGGCCTCAGTCTTGTAGGTGCTCCATGCATACAACTCCCTCTGGATACAGTGGGTGCTGCATACATAGAATGACTACAGACCTAGCCCTATAGTGCATAACTGCCTTGGAGAGCTAGAATTCAGGTAACAAATTAAATGAAGACTTTTTGACTTTGGAAGTAGAATTTTAAAGTGCATTGTAGTTGGCTTTAAGCTAAATGCATTTCATCTCATACAAAGGATTTGGAAACATTTATCAACATAAGTACTTTATTCAAAATAAAAAATTTAGAGTTCAACTCTTTGTTTCAGTCTGGCAAAGCTGCATTGTGCAGTCTTAGGAAACTGCACTGCTATCCTACTAGCTAGGAAAAAACAGCATTAAAGCTGTTGGTTGTATTTGTTGTGTTATCTTTCAGTGCCATTGTTAAATTTAAATTAATATGGCTAAAAAGCTTGCTTAATTTTTAGATTGCTGAAAAATCAGATCTGTGGAACAAAGTGTACTGTTTAATGTTAAGATTCAGAAATGGTGGGGGAAAATACTCATAAGATTCTGGGTTGCAAAGGTGTGTTAACTTGTAATTAATGTCAAAACAAAGTCTCAGAAAATACGGTTATCAATCTTCTGAAGGTCAAAAAAGAAATTTAGTAAATATTTGTATTCCAAATGCCAACGTAATTTGATCCAATAAATAATCTTGGTTGTGGAGAATTTTGAGGCTTGTAATACATGGGTGGGTTGTGGGTGCACTACTTCAGAATTTGAAGTAGAACTGTAAAAAAGCAGAATATTATTGTTTGCCTGTATTATGCTTGGCTTTGATGTTATTTATAAGACTTGTTTCTAATGAGGATCTGTTTAAATTTTTTGCTTTCCCTTAAACCACCACTACCTTATAGATGTATCACCACACTTCTATATCTTAATGCAGTAAAATAGTTACAAATTCTGTTTGTCCATTGTATACTTGTATAAAAAAAATACATTCCAACGTACTTCTGCATATGCTGTAAAATTGTGCCATCATATTGAGTTATTTCATTTAGCAATGTAGTAATACTATTTGGCACAGCTTGAAAAGAAACTACAATCTGACAATAGTGTATATATAAAATACATTCTTAGAAATCGTTGTTTTTTAAATTGCAAGAACATAAATGGATTCTTAAAATTTTGCTGAAAACTTTATTTTGGCATTCTGAGAGTTAACATTCAAAGTTCAGAATGCCTATCTTGATGGTTGTTGCTTCACTGCATTTACAGGTTGTGGTGATTTTGCATGTGTTGATTGGTTTTATTTGTTCATTTTGATCAATGATATAATTGGCTTTAATTCTTATGGCTTCAGCCTAATTTCTCTGCATAATCTAGAAGTGGATACACTTGTAAACAAACCTAATCAAAGTAGCTCTGGTCAGGTGAAGACTGACAGAGCTGGGATATGCTATTTTGCCCGGTTTACAATTAATAGCTTTGTATTTCACTTCATCTAGCAATAGAAAGAAGGTTAATAGTCAGCATCAGCAAATGATTCAAGCTATACTATCGTTTCATACACACAAGTAAAAGGCTTACAATTAGAAATTTTTATGAAGGACTGCAAAGTAACTTCAAATAGTAGATAAATTTCGTCACAGCCCTTTTTGAGTCTTGCTTTCTCTTCTAGATTGTATAGAGGCTGCTAATGAAGGGTTCTTAAATTTAAACAACTATATTCTCTCTCCAAGTACTGCAAGCATCATAGCAAAGACTTAATAAAAAGTATGATAAACTGTATACTTAGAGATCTAGGTATACAGTGATCTAGGAACAGTGCAGTTCTACAGACCTCTTCCTATTGGACTTTTGGAATATTGCTTTTAGCTGCATGCGTTGGCTTTCAGAAAGCTCAGGGTCTGGTTCTCCACTGCCTTGCAATGTTTATAGTCATTCATATCTGTAAAATGATTATTGCTTTCAATCAGCTATTTCATACTCCTTTTGAACTTTGAATTGTTACATAGAACTAGACTAAAGCTACTACGTTGCCATAATTTTTTCCAGCTCTATTCTTGATTTCAGCATGGAAGTTGTCAGAGGAGGAAAAAAATAGTTTTGGCTTTTTTAGTATTCTGAAATTTGTGCAGCATGTGAGTCAGAGAAGATCTCTGTAGTAAAAAAAAAAAAAAAGTCATTGCTTGCATGCAGAATACATCTATAGAGCATGTGAATTTAGCTAGTGTGTCTGAAGGGACATTGGGCCCACTGCATCTGTATTACCCCATGGCCTGCACATACGCAATAGCGTAGGCTGTGTGTTCATTGCTTCAGTGTATCCAACTGATACATATGCATGCATAATTTTGGAATAAGTGAACAATCACTTAAATAAATTGCAGATGAACTGAACATTACGCATGGGCATATGTACAGGCATGTGTTTTCTGTACAGAAAATCAGAGCTAGATATGAAAGCCTCACTTTACAGTGCAAAGCAGTGCTGAATTGACCCTTGGTTCACAGAAGGAATCTTGTAATGGTATTCCAGGGGAGATGAAGGGGGCCACTGTTTAATAACGTACTTAATGCTGAGCTTTAAGGGTAAGCATTTACAAGTATATATTTTAAGTGAGCATGATGTTTCTGTCTCTAGGTAAAAACAATTTCTCATTACTCCTTTCCTAGGTTCAGAGTCTTCTAGTAGTGTAGGGTCATCCACGGGTTCTCTTTCTCACACCCAGCAGCCTCTTCCAGTGCCAGCTCTAAGCCAGCCTTCTCATGGCACGCCTGCCGTCTATCCAACTGTCAGCACTAGTAACTCTCTTTCCTTTGATGGTGGCATAAGCGGGCAAGTGGCACCTACTAGCACTAGCTTCTTTTTGCTTCCCTTGGAAGCGGCAGGCATACCGCCTGGCAGTATTCTGATCAATCCTCAAACAGGTTGGTACATGCTTGTGGATGTTTTTGTTACAATTGAGAACTTGGAGAAAAATGCACGAGTGTTTACATAAGACTGAATGTCAGTATTGTCTTTGTTTTTCTCTTTTTTGTTTTTTCTGTGGTTGTGTTTGTTCAGTGCACTTAATTTAAAAAGAAAGCATGACTCTAGGATCAAAGGACTAAGTAAACTCGATTTTCTCTAGTAGAGTTTTAACTTATATGTAAAATTTTGATGAGTGACTTGCACAAAATATTAAAATTCTGTGGTTTATTATCCAGAACGCAGAATAACTTAAATTAATCGTTTCGGCTTTTTTCAGGAGAGGGAAAAGTCTTTCTCAGTGCTATTATAAAATAGTTTCAGTGAGGGGAGAGAACCTGAAGAAGTATTCATATTGACTTGAAAGAATTTATCATCCTTCATTTTGTTTGTCGCAACATATCCTTGTCTCTATACTCATGACACTGACTTAATACAAGTGAAAGAAATAAGCATGAGATTACATGCTATTTCTAACTTCTGTTTGTCAGTTTAAAAAAGGATGAAATCAATGTTGGTGTAATTGGCCAATGCTGATATTTTTAGTAAGTAGTAGGAAATTCATACTTCATAATGTAGATGTAGATGGAAGGAGATGTGCAACTACTTGTCTGGATTAAATTACTAGTTAGCGTTCTCTTTTAATTTATTGTAGAAGTTAAGAAATCTAGAAAATTTTAATTTACCTTTTAGCAACACATTGTAATCTTTGGAAAATGATTATATTTTAATTTTAGTTTAAAAATTTGTTTTCCTTGTAGAAAGGAAATACTTAAGGATATATTTCCCATCATTATGTATTATGTTTGAATATAACTGCATGTGATGTTTTAAACTAAATTTTTCTCACTGAGGTTGTTAAAATGATCACTTATTAAATTATTTCTCTTCTATAACTAAAAGGTTTAACATTGAAATAGATACATTTCTCTTTTTTCCTTAATATAAATCAATTGCTGTTGTATACAAAATTTGAGACTTTTTAAAGTTAATGATTGTGCATATTGATATGCTGCTTAAGGTTTCTATTAAATGCCTTACTGTAGAAACAAACAGCTTAAGCCAACCCTGCTAAAAATTGGTTACAAATGACTAGCTGTAGCATCTAATTTTCATAGATAGCCATTGGATTTGGAGGCGGATGTACTTGCCACCTTAGATCTAGGTTCTGGACAATAGCACTATTGACTTAATTTTCCTAGTTCTAATGTGATAGTTGTACATCTTTTACATGAATTTTCCATCGTGTGTGTTGACTACCTAAAGACAAATATGATGATTAGTGAAGAAGTTTTGCTAGAAAAATAAGTGGGTTTAGTGTTTGTATACACTAGAGTATTTTGTACTCTACATTAAATGAGAAGAATGTTGGCTGTCACTTTTCATATTCTGAGTTTATAGCATGACTGTGCTATAATCTTTAGAGTTACTGTACAGCAAAACAGATATTGCAGGCACTGAAACGATACCATCAGCTTGAAAGTGATTTCATGTAAAACATGATACAGTTTTTTCATTTTAAAAAATAGCGAGTTTTGAGTCGTCTTCATTTCAGTTATGTGCTTGTCAGTGTTTTGCATGTGATTAGTTTCGCTTTCTTCCTCCTGTACTGTTGGTCATTTTCCCTGTTACATTGATGGGACTTCCACATAGCAACAGGGAAGGACAGAGAAGCAAATGTGACTGTAAAAGTTTTTCATCTGAAAGCATCTTTTACTTGCACCCCCCTCAGAAAAGGCAGCAGAATTGTAGACTTGACTCTGTTTGATATTCATTAAAATTAGCTTGATTTTTCAAATTGTGATTCTTCCTGTGTTTTATCGATTTCTTTTTTTTTTTAAAATGTATTTAAACCAGTCATTAATAGTAACATAATCCTCTGTTATGAAAGACTATCTAATGAGTGTCTGATAGAAGATAAACTATGCTTCCAGAACAAGGAATATCTAGGTTCAGATAAACTTTCAACTTATAATGTACTTGAATCATCATATTCTGTAATTGTTCATCTGGCTTTATTGTTCCAAATGACAGTCAGAGTTCAAAAAACATAGATTAGTTTCTCAACATTTCTGACAGAGGATCTTATGACCTTCAGTCAACAGTCATTCTTCTCAGTAGTTGAAGACAGTAATTAGGAAAAGACAGTTCTTACTTAGCCACTACAAGAAACAAGTTAAGCTCCAGTGATTACCAGAAAGTGGTAGAAGGAAATAAAATCTGACTCCCTATTTATGTGAACATTCCCAATTCTTGAGCATTAAAGAGAAATCCATTAAGCTAAATTGGGGGTTGGACTAGATGACCTTTAAAGGTCCCTTCCAACCCAAACTATTCTATGATTCTGTGATAAATTGAATAGAGCAAGTCTGTTCATGCTTCTTGTCTATCTCTTGCATTAATTGCCTCAGTCCTCTCTTCAACTTTTACACTTTTATGTTGGCCAGTTGCATTTAAATGTGATGGGATGAAGAAGTCTGAAGGAGCATTAGACTACTTTGACAGGACCCCAGCTAGGGTGCAAAGGCTTTAGTCTCAATTTATACCTTTCTGGAAAGAATCTCAGACAAGAAAATATTTATATCAGTATTTGAACCTTAAGCATCAAAATAAGCCAAAGCAAGACATACATCATTAAGCAGCTAGACACAGGCCCTTGCTAGGTAATCTGTTGTTCCTTTGATTTGTTTTGTTTTTTCCCAACCCAGGCACCAAAATAAATCACTGTTTGTTTTATAATTTACTTTTAAGTATTTTATTTTTTAATTCTTTTTCGTTAGTCCATTGCTGTAATATTGAAGTTGCAAATTATAAAATAGGAGAATAGTCCTACATTATTTCATTTGAAAGCTAAAAGCTAATTCATCTATGAATAGGGGAAGAGAGTCCTTTAACAGTAATCTCATTAGCAGTTATGGGAGTACCATTGCAGCTACTGCTTTATATATGTTTTCAAAAATATTTGCCTTTAAGCTCTCCTGTGTTCTGATTGGTGTTCAAATTGATTAAAGGAGATTCATTTAATTGCCTTTTAAAAGGTCCTTAAAATAAGTGTTTTAGTAGGGTTTTCCTTTATTATTCCTGCCCTTTTCAATCTACTTTATTAAAAATGAGTTTTCAAGACAAGCAGGATACAGCAAATATTCATCTGTGTTCACTAAGTAAAGACTGGGGTATCTTTGTTTACCTTAAATGTTGTGGGTTTTAACTGCATGTAGTTTGTCAAATGAGGCCTGTTAAGTCATTGTTATTATAAATGTAGTTGTGGGGATTTGGCATAAATCTGTCATATAAAACCATATGACTTCACCTATTTTCAAATTTCATTATTTTATTCATTTTGCCTACTGTAAATACATCTGTTGTTGTTTTCTCTAAACTTAGATGATGCAGCTGGCTGTCATTGGGTTGTGTTTGTTCTCTTTCAACTTTTCAGGTCAGCCATTCGTTAATCCAGATGGCACTCCAGTTGTGTACAATCCTCCTATGCCTCAGCAACCTGTTAGGACCCAAGTGCCTGGACCTCCACAACAGCCACCTCTTCCCGCACCACCTCAGCAACAGCCAGCAGCGAATCACATCCTCTCACAGGTGCACATGTCAAATACATGATGTTTGTATTGGTGATTGATACTGTCATATTGCTGTCTGATAACAAGGGATCAGTAGGTTTGTTCTGTTGAAGCGTATGTTAAGAAGTAATAGCCACACAGGTATGGGTAACCGGTCTTTTTCCCCTACAGTCCTCAGAACTATCAGTTCTGCTAATAACCGAACATGGTAGGCAGCCTCTTCTTAAAAATGTAGAAAATATTTTAGTATGAAAACATACCAAGCCTACATTGCTCTGGAAAAGAGGTTCTGCCTTCCTTAACTGTGTGGTTACCCCTGGCATTAATGGTAATATAGTCAGCAATCTGGGAAGAGAGGATTGCTCTGGAAAAGAGGTTCTGCCTTCGTCCTTAGTCACACTGTGTGGTTACCCCTGGCATTAACGGTAATATAGTCAGCAATCTGGGAAGAGAGTTAATCCAAGTGAAATCTTTGTCTCCTTGTCTTAAGGTTATTTTTCAGCCAGATGAATTCTTGGGCTGTACTGCACAAGCAGTACTAATGGCACAAAAGAGGTAGCTTAGGACTGGTAGAGTATGAACGCCTCTTTCAGTAGCACTTTGGCTTACTCTACTCGCAAAACTGCATGCTGAATGACAGGATATATTTTATCCTTCTTGTATTGTACAAGAGGAATTTAGTAAAATAGGCCAGATTACAGATGACCTCAGCCCTTGAAGAAGAAGAGGAGAAAAGCAAAGAGTGTGTATGGGCAGGAGAAGGGAGGGTTCTACCTCTTTTTACAGCAGCTATTTCAGGCACCAAGCTACTGGCTATAGTCTCCTGTGGTATTTTCAAATTGTTCTCAAATTTTACCAAAAAGTTATTTATAGAACTTCATCTATGCCTTTATCCTTGTTCATTTTCCCTAGCTTAAATCTTCTGTTCAGGATACCTGCGTATGCCGCAGTAGAGAGAGTCTGTTTTGAAAAAGGCTCATTTGTACTCTTTCTCCCTATCTAGTTTACTACTTCTATGATTGCCTTCTCAATGGATACTGGAGTTGAACCTGCCTGAAATACTATCAGCAGTGATACCTCTTTGATGTTCAAATAACCACAATCTAGAGAAAATATTTTATATTGTTGAATAAGTGAAAGTAATATGTTTTAATCTGTGGTTAGTAGTAAATCCATTCTGTCTTTAGATGCTTTGAAACAACTTGTATTTAGAATGCATGTGTAGTTTTTATCTTATAATTTCAAAAAAATCTCTAAAAGAAACAGTAAATGTTAAATAGAAGCAATTTGCTGACTTATCGCCAATATAATGTATAACAGATAAAGCAAATGTATTTCTGCAGGGAGACTGAGATATTGAAAATTACTTCTGTTTTAATTCTATGCAGTCTTGAGCTTAAAAAAAGAAGTATCCGTTCCCTTCCTGGTAATGGAGCAGAGTTGTTTTTTTCTGTTACAAAAGACTTTGACTTTGTTTTCACTTCTCTTACTCTAATGTTAACCGTGTTTATAAACCTGTTATTTCTTCAGCCTATGCGGCCTCTGCAGCCTTCTTCCCAGCCTGTTCAGTACTCTGCAGTCTCTTATCCACCCCCGCTCCTGCCAGTCTCCTCTACACAGCAATATTCTGTGGTATTATACCTTCTGTTCATCTCCTCTCTGCATGGGTTAATCTTTAGTGGATGCTGACCTTTGCTTGGTTGTTTGTAAGTGGTGTGCGATACCAGTGTAACGACTGGCTATCTTTTCAATCACAGTAAAATATTACCTGAGTGGGGGGAAAATAGTTCCTGAGATTTTAACGTGTTTATTTCAAATTCAGCAGAAGTGTATACAATTAAGGCTGTATCTATATATCTCTATGTTTAGATATATATTATTTCCCTTTGTAAAGGAACAGCTTTTCAATGCTATTGTTTTGTTAGCCAGTCAGTACCTTTTTATGTCTCTGGATTAACCTCTTTCCATCCTTTCTTGTTGTTTCTTTGTCTGCTCTTTCTTCTGCTAAATTTTGAGGGATCAGCGGTGCTGGTGTTTTGAGGTTGTCTTTTTCTAGCCTCTGTGCCAGAACTCTTAACACTCCTACTTCACTAGCATGCCTTGTTTAATGAATAGAAGCTGGAAATGAAATATCTTAGTCTTTTGTGTTTAAGAAACAAAACAAACAAACAAAAAAAACCACACACAAATTGAAACTGAAACCTAGTAAAGGAGAAGAGTTATCTATCTAAGGCAGAATCTGAACCTAGAGTCCAGGTCAAAAATAGGGGCTTCCCCATATGCTCTGATACTCTAATGAATGCATGTTTGTGTTGGGTTTATGTGGCATGGTTTTGGTAGCAGGGGCGGGGGCCTGCAGGGGTGGCTTCTGTGAGAAGAGACCAGGAGCTGCCCCCATGTCAGACAGAGCCAATTTGAGGTGGCTCCAAGACTGACCCTGCGCTGCCCAAAGCTGAGTCAGCCATTGACACTGGTAATGATGCATTTAAGAAAGGGTAAAAAACACTGTGCAGCAGCTCTGAGGGAGGGGAGCGAGAAACAACTCTGCAGTCACCAAGGTTGGAAGAAGGAAAGGGAGGAGGTGCTCCAGATGCTGGAGCAGAGATTCCCGTGCAGCCTGTGGAGAAGACCATGGTGAAGCAGGTTCTTCCCCTGCAGCCCAAGGAGGACCATGGTGGAGCAGATATCCACCTGCAGCCCGAGGAGGACCCCACACCAGCAGAGGAAGAGATGCCCTGAAATAAGCTGCAGCCCATGGAGGGCAGGAGCAGGCTTCTGGCAGGAACTGAGGCCCATGGAGAGGAGGCCATGCTGGAGCAGGTTCTCTGGCAGGACTTGTGACCCCATGGGGGACCCACGCTGGAGCAGTCCATTCCTGAAGGACTGCACCCCGTGGAAAGGACCCACGCTGGACCAGTTCGTGAAGAACTGCAGCCCATGGGAAGGACTGTATCCCGTGGGTGGGACCCCACACTGGAGCAGGGGAAGAGAGTGAGGAGGAAGGAGCAGCAGAGACAAAGTGCTATGAACTGATCACAACCACCATTCCCCATCCCTCTGTGACACTTGAGGGAGGAGGTAGAAGAGTTGGGAGTGAAGCTGAGCCTGGGAAGAAGCAGGGGGGTTGGGGGAAGCTGGTTTTAGTTTTGTTTTTATTTCTCATATCCTACTCTGTTATTTAATTGGCAATAAATTAAATTAATCATCCCCAAGTCGGGTCTGTTTTGCCCATGGTGGTAATTGGTGAGCGATCTCCCCATCCTTTTCTTGACCCATGAGCTTTTCATCTTATTTTCTCCCCCTGTATTGCCAAGGATGGGGGAGTGAGAGAACAGCTTGGTGGGCACCTAGGAGCCAGCCAAGGTGAACCTACCACAATGCTATACAATAGCTATTTTAGTATGTATTCAGAGTTTTTATTTTGTTCTTATTTTCAATATTAATCAGAAATGTCTTACAATAGATATAGATTGCATATAGATCATATGCAATCGCCTGCATATAATTAAAACTATATTCTAACAGTTACCTGTACTTTATGTATACAATTCTAAAAGGAATTGCACTTCATGGAGGTTGTTTTGTTATTAGCGATGTTGTTTCTCATGTTATTTTAGAGTTTGAGTACATGTGCACTGCAGTCAGTATAACTTACCTCCTTAGTAATGAAACGAGAATGGTTAATTAACCTATGCGAGTTTAGCATATGACTAAATTGCTGTTAGTAGCAGCTAGTTCAGGTGTGATTCACAATCATTGTTAGGCATATGGTTGTTAAAGCAGAGAATGAAACTCCTTCCAGGTTCATAATAGTTTCAAAGCATTTTACGTTCAGGAAATGGGTTCAAATACTAAAGTGTGCTGGCAATTTCAAAAATTTAGTCCTGCTGGTGGTAACTTAGGTAACATAGTGAAAAGGGTTGATCGTCTTGGTTCATAATCTAAATGCAACACATCTGTAGTTGGTACCAGGAAAGTTTGGTTTATCCATTTATTGGTAATGCCATGTTTCAGTGGCTCATCATGCTTGTACTATACATATCACTGTAGGACAAACTCACCAGATCAAAATTTACTCATATTGGTAGTGTAACAGAAATAAATGTGTATTGCTTGGGTTTATTCTTTGGACATTTTTAGAGGTAGTATTAACTCATAATTAAATATCAGAATCTCCTTTCTAAACTAGGTGTTATGAAAAGCAGAATGTAAAATCTAATGTAGAAAAGCATTATAGTTGCGTTAATAGGCATCATTAAAGAATGAAATGGCAAAGGCAAAGTTAGATTGTTGATCAAATGAAAATAGGGCTTTTTAAGCTGCAAAGGTATTCTAAATAAAGCTTTAGGTGTAAATTCATATTTCCAGTGGTATCTGGATATCTCTAGCCTTGGAACTATAAAATTTCATCATAAAATGTGAACGCAGCTAATCAGTAGAAGACAGAGTTTGCACTTATTCTTTCTTGATTAACTCCTATCTTCTTCAGGATGATATAAGAGAGGATCAGATGGTCTTAAAATATTTTTAATGTTCCTCCATGTTTGGAGAGTCCCCTTTTGAAGCGTGAACCAAATCTTCCTGTTTAGCAAAAAAATACAATACAAGTGACCATTTCTGATTTCCAGGATGTTGGTAATTTGATGCTGAATTGATTGTAAAGAAAAAGAGCTTGGAGTTACAGTAATAGAAGTTGCAAATTTCACAGGACTCCTGCAGCGCTCAGTGCAATCAGTATCATAGTTTCAGATATTGATAAAATACAGATAGTAGGTAACCACTAGAATACATTTCTTGCAGCTGTTACTTGACTTCAGGCTAAAAAAAATTAATCGTTGCATGTAGTATAATACCAAGTTAGAGGAATGTACCTTGTTATTCAGGATTAGAGCCTCCTTAACTTAAGCTCTTAAAACCAAAAATTACTTTAGCAATACTAATCCCTTCTGCTGTTTTAACTAGGGTTAGATGTTTTCACTCAGGCTTTGAAGTCCAATCAGAAAATGTTAGTGACACAAATTCTGACTTTATTTTTGACAATTTAATTCTTACAATAAGTAGATAGAAGCAGATGTAATCCAAAAATTGAATATTTGCAGTGAAATGAGTGAAGTCTCTGAATGTAGATGTTCTTTCCTGCTGTCAGCCGTGAAGATAATTTACTCCTATAATGCATCTTGTTCTTTCCTGTTGTTCTTTGGCTGATGTTGCTAATGCACAGTAATTTGAGACATGAATATCTGAAACTTACTGAAATATTTGGCTATTTTATTCTTTTTTTTTCTTGAAAGTACATTTGTGAATGTAATTTTTCTTTTTTTTTTTTTTTTTTTAACTATTACAGCAAGACAACCTAGGATCACAATTTAGCCATATGAGTCTTGCCCGCCAGCCACCTGCTGATCCAGCTGAACCTCACACTGCTATGTTCCAGTCCACTGTAGTCCTCCAGCCCCCACAGCAGTCTGGTTATATCATCGCAACTGCTCCACCACCACCACCCTCTGGCCAACCAGTTTCTGCTCCAGGCTACTCAACATCTAGCCACCCTGTCAACCAGCAAGTACTCCAGCAGCAGGGATATATGCAGCAACCTGTGCCACAGGTACAATGGCTCTGTTTCCATCCTCCCAAAAGCTATATTTAAAAACTGATGATGCTGTTCTATTAATGAGCTTTTTGTGTGGTGTGGGGCTCCCTGTTCAATTGCAGCTGTGTGCATTTACTCTGGGGTTGGGTTTTCTTCTGGCTTACGTACTTTGAAATGAATGACTTCAGTTTACTTGAGGAGGAATAATCACCCAGGTATTTACCTGTAGCTGCTAAAACTCATGTTCTGCCTAGTTTTCTAGTGTCTCAGATGTTTCTTTGTGGAAATTGGGAGTTGTTACTTCTACAGTGAAAGTAGAAGAAATCGGCTGTTAAAGAGGGAATTTACGTAGTATAAGTAGTTTTTAATTGCTAAACCATTTAACTTAGTTTCACCTTTTTAATAAGTTTTGCATCTTTCTTTTATCATGTGATTCTTTTGGCATTTAGATGTCTGCCTTCTATAAACTTGCTGGTAGTGAATCTCTTTAATTGTTATTTGTTTTTAGATGCCAGCTTGTTATTGTACCCCTAATCAGTATCCACACTCCAGTCAACAATACCGACCTGTTTCTGTCCATTACAGCACACAGCAAAACCAACCATTGGCACAGCCTGGACAGCAGACAGGTTTGTTGAACTTTTTCAGCATTTCATTAGAATGCCTTGTGTGTGTTTTCTCCTGTTTTGCTTTTTAAACTTATTTTGCTGTATAATTTCAAATAAAGTAAAAGTTCAAATATGGGATACAAAGTATAACTAAGCTAAGGTGGAAAAATCTGATTCAGTTGCTCATGAAACTTGAGATTTGAGCCATTACTATGAGTGGCTCATGCTGTAATTTTAATTATAGGATAATTTTTTTTAGTTTAGAACTGAATAATTTTTAAAACTTGTAACTTAGTAACTAACTTTTTAGTAACTTGCAGAGTAAGATTAATTAGTACCTTTAAATGATGTAACATTGTAGAGATGTACCTTAACTGAAAGTTCTAGACAAAAGATACTGATTTTAGATGTTGTGGCATGAAAAGACTGCTATGCAGAAGATACTGGTGATACTGTTTTAATTTGTCTTTCTGTTCTATGATTAAAAGTATCTGGCTATTGAATAGAATATATAATGGGACTGAAGTGTTTAGAATTAGTTTTCTGCTCCTCCTATTTCTAGTAAAGACTTTTCTACTGTTCCTGAGTTACCTTTCTAGGAATGTTATCAAGCTGTATTTGTCTCCTTTCTTTCCTATTGTCTTTTTTTCCTTAGAAATTGTAACTGTAGCTACCATTATTCTAATAATCTGCACTTAAAAATATTATTATGACTTCTTCAATAAGATTAGGATTCCTGAAACAAACTTACTTCTGAGTAATATCTTGATTCCCAGTCAGAACTTTGAGAAGAGATGTTTGGAGGCAGAGATCCTTAAAAATCAGGCTTTTCTACCATGTCTTAGTTAAATATGTTAGACTTTTGAGTTTCAGGAAGAAGGATTTTTTAATTTCTCCCCCAGCCCCCAGCTATGTGTTGCTCTACAGAAATAGGATGAAAGATCAGCTTTTACAAATATTAACTGGATTTTTTTATAGCTGTTCTATGAAGTAGCCTGTAAGAGGGATGGCTCCCTCTTCCACAGTTCTTGTAGGAAGTGCTCCAATAGCAGCAACACTTCAAGTTGTTATTCAGAGTTCAGTTCACAAATTTAGACGGGATTATTTCATTGCAGAATCATCAAGATGTGATACCCACTTATGGTAGGGTTGTCAGATCATTTTAAAATACTGTTAATACCTGCTTACTGCAAAATAGATCACTCTTCAGAAGTGAAAGTATATTGACATTTTTTCAAAGGAAAACAAATTACTTGTTTTTGCAGCTTGTTTTATCCATTGTTGTTAAGGATGTCTTATCCAACTGTATTACACAACCTGCTTTCCTTCCTCAGAATTTTTAATACCTAGACTACTTAAAAAAAGTCTGAGGCTCGGCTGGGGTTACTTCCCCATTTACGGGTACACCCTATGTGAATAGCACACAAACTCTCTAAATCGGAGAGAGCCCAGTGTATATATGTAGCTAAACAAAACAATCTGAATTTGAAAGCATGGGGTGACGGTGCGTCAGCACCAAGATGCAAAGGGAGGAATCGATTGCTATTAGGTAAGTAAGTTTCTTTCTTGTCTGTTTTTAGCTCTTTACATTTTAACTGAATTTCACTGCCTGTAACGTGGACAGGGTGAAAAGCATCAGCAGCTAAAATCTCCCTCTGTGTCCTAGAAGAAAGCAAGCTGTGCAGACAGCTACTTTACTACTTTGATAATGTACCTTGTGCCTGTAACCCTGACATCAAGGGATCATGTTTAAGTAGTGAAGGGATGATCCAGCCAATAATTCCATTCAATCCTGTTTGGTTACTTGATGTTTACTAGCACTAGTGGTAGAGAGAAGTATTTTACTAACAATTGCGTAATTAGTGTTTAACTCAAAATCTCCAGATTGTTACCTGGAGATTTACTGCTTTATAGGCAAATTTGAATCAGCATTCTAGAGATGGAAGGTTCCGCATCATGTTTTCTGTTCTGTAAACTGCTTATGAGGTGGTGTATTTTGAAATTATCTCTTTTGTAGATTTATTTTAAACCTTAAATATTTGTGTTAAGTTGATACAAAGCTATATCCAAAATGGTTGATGCTTATTAGCAACGGCTGCTTTTGAGACAAAAGGCAGCATGTTACTTGCCTAATATAGCAATGTGTCTGGTCAAAAATGACAACTAACAAATCTTGTATTACATAAAAGCCGTGGGTTTTATTCATCTTACAAAGTGGTTACTAACTATGAAATAACTTTCCAAACACAAATCTAGATAAAAGATGACAGCTTCTGAGAGCATGGCAACTGAAGCCACTTCTGGTTTAATATTATGGAGTGGCCTGACTTTATTTATGAGCTGTTGGATTCGGGGCCGTAACACTGTCTGAGAGGTTTACATTTCTCACAGTGAACCGGTCTCTTTTTCAGCTGCTTCCTGGCTTCCTTTTTAAAGGGGTTTCAGGTGAAATATTTGAGGGGTTCACTTTCAATAAAAACGCTTTGGTTGTCCAAAAGATGTTGGGAGAAGAAAACTCTCTTTAAGAAAAAGGCATTTCCAACTGCCATGATAATGAGGGCCCAGTTACCATGAGACCTAACTACAGGCTGATAAGTTAACTTTTCTTATATTAAAAGTGGTTTCTTTTTCATTATGTAAATATTAAGAAACATGCTTCTTTTTTTATCTACTGTTTCAGACTATTTCTGTGTAATGAGACAATCTGCTATGGCAGGTGTGGGTTTTCTGCCAAGTGCTGCATTTATGTCAGACCACTCTCTATGCAGAGGTGAAATTGTGAAGCTAAAAACAGAGCATTCTTTGGAGCGCTGTGGGGAACCTTCTTGGCAGTCAATTTATATTGTTCCAGTTCTCTCTGCTTGCAAAATTCATCATGTCTGTCTCTGGAAGTGCCAGAAAAAGCTGAAAAATATTCATAGCTACATTGCAATTTCTGGGAAATGAGGGGTTTAGGTTGCAGATGTATTGATTGGATCTTCATATACTGCAACTTTGCATTCTGCTGCTTTTTAGGTGCCATAGATAATTTTGTAACAAAGTACATTTAAGCGTTTTGTTTATTACAGATATGAGATGGATTTTTGTGCACAGTTCAAACTTAAGAGTTATTAAAAATTCTATTTACTAATCCTGATTCATTGTTCTAAAGTTTTGTATAGTACTCTGAAAATATTTATAGTGTGTTGTGTGTTTCTAATGAATAGCTTTCTTGGTTTTAACAAACTGAGCCCTTTAATTTTCTGAAGCAATATTTGATTATATTAACAGCCTTTTTTAGTCTTCATTGTTGCAATTTCTGTAGAGACAGCCAGCTGAGACTGTTAATTCACAATGTTCATTGTACCCTGTATGTATGTAATCAATGAACATTGGTGGGTTTTGTTTACAAAAAGTGTTTGGTGTTAACTGAATAGTTATTTTCAAAATAGACCATGCAATTTTTTGTTTTTTAAACACAGTTTAAAAAAAAATTCAAGTGAGTTTTTGCAGCTATATTTGCTCTATTATAGTTCCATACCAAGGTAGGGAGCATGGGGAGCGTCAAGGTCAGTAGAATGTGAAAGTGTCCAAGTTAAATACAGACTCTTCTTGCCGTCAGTGCGTCTTGACAAGCCCGGTTTTGTTATTCTGGAGCAATAACTGGCTTTGTCTCAGAAACACTGATAGTTACGTTTTTTTGCTGATGTGGTAAGTAGCACATGCCTGTATAATAGAATATGACAAAAAGAACTTTATGTTCTGCATGTGTTTTGATCATGGTAGCAGTTACCTACTATATGCTTTTTAAAAAAAAAAAAAAAAAAAAGCAGGATTTAAGGTTGGACCTAATAAACGGACAGATTTCCTGTTTGGCACTCATGCTTGGGTTTTTATGTTGGTTTTTGTTTTTTGGGCTTTGGGGTGGTTTTTTTAGGCCATTTTTGAAAGATAGCAGAGGGATACCAGTCTTTTTCCCCGAGATAGATTTGAATATAAAATATCTTCCACTGTATACGAACATGGCTTTTATCTGGAAGATCTTTCTCAGTTCCCAGTTGTTTTTAGCATTACAGATTTCAGTAGAAATTGCCCTTTTTAAAAAGATTTGCACACATGCCTTACACAAATTTTCTTGAAGCGTGATTCAGATATTTGAATCATAGTCAAGATACTCTCATCCCTAGGGCACCTGAGGTATTAGTAGAATTTAGCATTAGTAGAATTATCATAACTAGAATTTAAAAAACTAAAGTGCCTAGAATGACCTTGTCCATAATAATAGACAATTAATTGGTTTTGATATTATCTAGCATGCTTTGTTCAAATGCTTTCAGCTTTCACCTATCAAATCAAGGTGTTAATGCATGTAACTCACTAGAGTGTAAATAAATATTGCAAGCATGTGAGAGCAGCATTGCAAATAGTATATATAGTATTTCATGCTGGATCCAAATTAATAAATCTGTTAATTTTAATGTTGGCTTCTTTTTATATGCATGATAAGTTCAACTCTTTCATGAAGTTGCCAGATTTAAAAAGCCATTGGAAAATGCTACACATACATTTTCACATAGGCAAATGTGTTCATTATTTCAAAATAATATTTACATGTATAATTTCAGGTTACCACGTTTTGCCTAACCAGCAGCAAAACTACCAGGGTTTAGTTGGAGTTCAGCAGTCTCAGAATCAAAATCTAGTCAGTGGCCAACACAACAATGTTGGGAATCAAATTCAAGGTGTGATTGTTCCATATCCTTCAGTGCCATCTTATCAGGTGGGTAATTTATTCATAACTTTCCAATCACTCTTCTGTGTGTTTGAGTGTTTTGTTTTGTTTTTTGATTATTTTTTAAGTGCATTGCTTTGTAAATGGTAGAAAGCTGCAAGCAGGTGTCAAAAGTGACTTTAGGGACAGAAATTAAAAAATCAAACAAACAAAAAACCCGCAATTGAAGTAAGAAGAAAATCTGTCACAAGTGTACAAGTTCTAGTCCTGTTGAATGCCAAGTGTTGTGTTAAGTGCAATTCAGAGGATGGGGAAGAAAAAGCTCACAAGATCTCTCTCCCCACCACCCCACTTTCTATTGTAGAGAAAATCTCATTTGTTAATTTATGGAGTCCCTTGGAACCAACATTTCCATTTTGGGGGAAGAAGATAAAAAGGTTTTTTTAATAAAGCACTATTACTTCAACTACTGTTATCACTAGTTTTCTGAATTTAGAGAACTCCAGCAGATCTTTCAGTTTCTGTTTTTTTAAAATTCTTACATAAACTAGGTGATGGTCAAGAGGCAGAAAGAAACATTGCCAGCAGAAGAAGATCTTAATGTGTTCTCAATTTTAGGTTTCGGTGCCTCAAGGTTCCCAAGCAGTGCCCCAGCAGACATATCAACAGCCTGTTATAATTCCCAGTCAGTCAAATCAAGGATTGCCCACAACAGGAATTACTACAGTGTCATTCCATCAGGTCAACAGAATAATTTAAGGTGAGTTTAACTCAGTTATTCAATTTCTCAGCATCTAGGCTTAATTGCCTTGTAGCAACTGACAGGATCTGCTATAGTATTGCATATATTATCTGTTTATTATCTATTTATTTTTGCTCTTATGCAATGAACTAAAACAACCAGTACTCCTCTAATTGGGACATACTTGTTAGACTGGAAAACATTGTTTCCATATCACTTTCAGCAATACTTTACTACAGTTCCATGTCTTAAGTTTTCTGCATTCCTTTTCTTATACATGCAACACCAGTGTGTTCAGTAGCAATGCCTTTTTGCAGTAACATTTAGGATGGCTATCCATATTACTGTTTTTGTCAAAGATACTGCTTTAATAAGGTGTAGAGGAAGAGACTTTGAATCCCAGAAAAAGACTTTCTTCCTTTTTGGGAGCTTTGTCTGGAAGGAGCTTAGCTTACTTTGTCTGTGTAGCTAACGAGGCCTGCTGGCACAAAGCTGGCTATGAAACAAGTATAGGAACTTTTTCCTATGCTCAGGGCTTGTTTGAAAAATAACCTTTTTTTTTCAGCAAACTGGTCTACGTGTACAGACCTCCCTGTGTATACATCTGTGTCCCCAACACAGTTTGAGTATTTGTGAGAGAACAGATAGGCAGATACCTAAAAGAATTCATTAGGATTAATGTTTGTTACAAATTCTGCTTTCTCTAGTTTTTTGATCTTACAAATGTGCATCATTTAAAAATACCTCGCCTGCAGCTTTTAAACAATCAGCAACAGTATGAAGCTTGCTTTATCCTTTTGTGAGTGCGGAGACTTAAATAGTATTTGTGTCATCGCTGCATGGCTTCATCTACTTAAATCTGAATACTTGTTCTTTGTATCTGAAGGTTCTTTTTACCCTTTTCTTCTGTAGTTATAGTTGAGGTTCAATGAAGTCATAGGTAGATGTAATCGCAGACTTTTTTTGAAGTAAGTTTTGTTGCTCGATCTTTTGTGTCATTTAGAAGGTCCCTTTCTTTTGAACAGGGAAACATTTGGAGTTCAGAGCAGACTATCAACTAATGACGGCATTTTGCTTTTATCAAAATAGTTATGTTGCAGCACTTTGGCAAGGAAAGCAGAATACTGTTCTGCAGGAACTGAATATTGTCAAACCTACAGGTCACTATTGAAAACTGTATCAGTAGATAGATGAGAAGCTGTGTGAAAGTACACATCCCATGCAGATATAAAACCATCTGGTTTAGTTTTCACTGAGTTTTGTCTGCTTTAATGGAAGGGAATCTTTAAATTAAAATTACATAATTGAACTGTGGGACAAAGGATGGAACAAACTACTTGTGACAACATAGGTAAAAATGGTAAGTCCGACAGGATTACACCTACTTTTTTCCACAATTTGAAGTATAATTTTTTTTCTCTTGTTCCTTCAGAATGTTTACTTTATCTGTTAGTACAGAAACGAAGTACAAGATTCTACAGGCACCATTCTGATTATGGTCCACCAACCCGATGTTCTGGCTCTGGCAGTATGATCAGTTAGTGGTGTGACAGAATTTGCCTATGTCTGTTACTTACCTGATTTTCCCCTCAATGCCCTGAAAAATAGCTGGCATAAACAAACTTTTAAAGTTATCCATTTCCTACGTATTACAAACAAATGAAAGGTGGTTTATCTCCTTGAGTTGTCTCCCATGACTAATTATTTTTCCTTTTCCCACACCTTATTTAGTAAAGCCATGGAAAGGTGATCATCTCTTTAAGCTGTGTTACTTTACACTGAAGCACAGGTGTGCTCGTTTGGTGTGCTCAATAAGCTGGCTCAGCTGCATGGGGCCAGCCTCCAGCTGAGCGACTGCATCTGAAATCCTCCTGACAGGTCCTGTGGTGATCATTTAACTGAGACCTAATTCTGGTTAATTGGGCAAGGCAACAAATTGTCTTTGTGTTATTATTCTACATGTCTTTATACTGATACAGTACTATCGACACAAAAATAGTATCTCAAAATAGGTGAATTAGTACAGCTTCTTAATGTATGCAAGGCATAGGTTTTTGCCAAGGGAGAGATGTGAAACTTCAGTCTTGTGAAGAATAAGTAGATTCGGGGGTAGGTGGGAATATGATTGATTTTAAAATTAACAAAATCTCAGTGATTTGCAGTACGTGTAGACAGCAAATGCAGCAGTCATGATTAAATAAATTAGTGTAGCATAAATGCCTGTTAGTCATATTCTTTTTTTATTATTGTTATTATTACAGTTCATCAGTAGGATATTTGCACCCTCCTGGATCAGAGCAGATACAGTTTCCTAGAACATCATCACCATGCAACTCACAGCAGCTTCAAGGACAGCAGTGTGCAGGTTGGGGGAATAAAGTTTTTACTGAAAGATTTCAAAAATGTCTAGCTGTTATTGTGCTGGATGTCTGGGTATTTCCTATTAAGGGTTTGATTTAGAATTAAGTTTTGTATTGTATTTCCTTCTGTGTTCCATTTTTGAAGTTATATTGAAGACAGATTAACTGGACAACTCAACTTGTTTATCATTGAAAGCTCTCAAGTTATTTTCTTAGAATTCAGTGACGTACATCATAATGCCTTGCATGTCTGCTTGTGAGTTGAGACAGACGTGGCTTCTATATATTCTCAGCAGAATGACTTTCATCTTCTTCTGAATAGCTACATGAGTCTGAAAAATTTGAGATCTGGGTTTACGTTTGATAGAACAAAAGCAAGATACATTTTGGAAGCAGTATGCCTGGCTTTTCTACTGGAGAAGTATTCTAGATTTCACTTAATGGAGTAGGAGTAGTGATTTTCTTATCCTGAGAAGAGGGTGAAAACTGTAGGCATTCTGGGTATGGATAGAGAGGAGAGGTAGCTTTTTGACCGGCTGAAAAACTAAATGAAATACTCGTAATCTCTGTGGGGTGCTTTGTTTTTGTTTTTATGGTAGCCTTATTTACTGCTTTTACTTTCATAGTTTATAGCAACCATTCAAGTCAGAAGCCATCACCTCCTACATTATTGCCACCTTCATCAAAGTCAAAGCCACAACAGGCTGCTTCCATTGTGCACTACAGCATAGTGTCTCCACCCTCATCATGTAAAAGTTTGCCCACTGGTCTTTCCATCATGCAGCCAATAAAAGGTATATTTTATTGGGATTTTCATCTAAGCCATTCTGTCTAGAAATCTGTTGTAAATTATCAGATTGATTTCATGGCTAACTACTAGAACAGCTGCAACTTCAGTGCCATTTCTGCAAATACTTTTTTCATAATTCTTCATCTGAATTGCTATTATTGTAACTTTAAAAATGACAACTTGGAACTTAAGTGAAACAATAGCCAACTTCATGGGGGCAGCCTGGAGGCAGCCTTCAAGCGGATAAGTGTCCCTTAGCAGAAGCACTTAAATCAGGTTCAGAATGTTTTGATCTACAAAATATTTGGGTAATTTTTAGAAGGTGTATAAATAGCAGCCTCAATGGCTTGCGAAAACAGCAGTGACATAGCGCTTGCCATATCCATGAAATGTTTACAAATGTTAATATCCAAACACTTAAAAACTCTGAATTTCCAACCATAAAATTGATGAACTGGTCAGGAAATTAAAGAGCACTAAGGTTAGGCCCCACCCAAGAGATTATAGAACAATCCTGTGATCATAGCGCTACTGTCTCTATTTTACTAATAGGGAATTTGATACATTGGAGGTTTGGTTGGCCAAAAAGGGGTAATCTCAAATACTGCTATCTCATTATTTTGCAAGGAAGCAATAGATTAAACAACTCTAGGTCAATGACCTAGATTCCACTATAGACGTGGTGTTTTCTTACGAACATTTATCTTTTAAAATATTTTTAGAGCCTGTTTATTAGTAAATAGATAAAAAGCAGTTAAGCAGCAAGATAGCTGGATTATCAGTGTACTTTACTTTGTGGGCAGGTTTGGTTTTGTTTCCATTTTGCGTCAAGTTTGTTTGGCTTTAATTCTGGATGACTGTCATTTCAGGATATCTAAAATAGGTCTCACAGTAGTTTGTTCTTCTGCCCTCATAATATATCCTGGTAGTGCTGGGTTTATGCAGTTTTGAAGGCCTGATTCAAACCTGCTAAACTGCAATTTAAAGAATTTAGGGGAAGGGGGAAGCCCTCTATGACCTATTTTGAGAGAATAAAGAAAAGCATGCATGTTAGCAAGTGATATTGAGATGATGACTCAAGGCCACTGAGGTAAGGACAGTGAGGACATATGCAGACAAGCAGCAGAGTTCTGTTTCTTTTCATTTGAAAAAGTTACAGAGGACCAGCCTGCAAATCTGGGAAGCCTTCCAAGGATTTTTTCTGGGTTTCCCTTCTAATGGGTTTTGACAGGTGATAAAGTGTCTGCAAACTGACTTACGTGTTCTATGACACTTCATTTCATCAGCATGCTTGTTTAGGAAAAGAATTCCATTTATTTTCATTTACTGAAATGCTGTGGACCTAGAAGTGTAGTAAAAAGAACAAGTCTTTCTGGATGTACAAAGTTTTCTTTTGCAGTTTAAATAGCATTTTCAGATTGTGACATTATTTTTTAGAAATGGTGCTGTAGATGGTTTTGCAAGACAAGCATATTTTTATTGGGTGTTCAGTTCTCACAGAACAAAGGTAAGTCAAAAGAGTTCTGTGCTGAGTGCTACGGAATAAAAGACTATAATATTATAAAACAGTAAGATGTATTTCTGTATCATTTATAATATTTGTAAATATATGCATAAAATATTAAATGGAGAAGATTGTAGACTCCCTCTTTAAAAGTGGATGATTAAATGATGTTTAAACCATGTGTTTTAATTGTGGTTTCTGAGAAATGCTGTAAACAGTGGGTAGATCAGAGAAGGAAATTGCAAACAACCATTTACGAGTAAACAGGACGTTCTATAAATTACCTGGGACAGAGCCAGGTCGAAGGGGGAAGACAGCTTCTCTCTCTCGGGCAGCCTCTCGTCACAACTGCTCATGTGAAACCTTACGAACAGCGTTGGCTGTTCTCCCCTGACTTTGGCATTTCTGTAGTTACCACAGAGGTGAAGTGGTACATGATGTAGGGATCTATTTGCAGTCTCTGCCCAGAAAAACATTCATATATAAAACGTGTAAATGAGGGTAATTTTGCCTCAGACTAAAGATTGATTCCAGATTTTTCCGATGCATGCCACCGTATCAGAGAAAACATTTTGAGACTGTATTGCTGTATATCATGTAAAACTAACTAGGTAACTTCTGTTTTTAAATAAAGCATATTTTTGCTTAGTATCACATGTTCTTCAACACACTGCTCTGACAGTAACTACAGTGAATGTAGAATACTTTCACCTACTATTAAACAGAATGCTTTCTTTCAAAAATATTCTCAATAATGGGTTTCAGTGGTTCTGCTATCTCTTCTAGTTCTGGGAAGCCCTCTCTAAGTTAACTATCGCAGATTTATCTGATAGTGGAAATGTAGTTGTACAGAAGATACTGCTCTAGTTTTCTAGAATTCAGCAGCTTACTTAGCAAAACATTCATTATGTTATTTTCCCCCCCCCCTTTTTTTTTTTAAATTCACATCTGTTCTGCTAAAACGAATATTGAAATGTATGATGAACTAACTATATCCTACCAATTTCTTGTCTTGTAGCAGTAGCACCACCACCAGGTGGAGGAGTAGTAATGATGCAGCTAAATATACCTAACAATCCTCAGCCTCGGAACCATTCACCTCCACAATGGAAACAGAATAAATATTACTGTGATCATCAAAGGGGGCAGAAGTCCGCAGAACTTAGCACTTTAGACAGTGCTGCACAGGTATGAGGTTTTTGTTTTGTTTTCCAGGATGACTTAAAATTTGTGTAAATTGCATCTTCGCATATTTTTTCAAAAATTCTTCTGGGGGAATAAAAATCTGCTCTGGTAATACTTAATATAGCTTTTTTAACTTTACTTCAGTCTTTGAATGCTCTAGCTGTTGTTTAGCTTGTTCAACTAGGTACTTTTTAAAACACTAACTTGTTGTTTATTCCAGTTGCAGCATAGTCCTCAATTAGGTAGTCCTGTCACCTCACCGGCCCAATCACCAGCACCAGCTCAGCTATCGAACATGAAGAACATCCGTCCCACATTAACACCTCTTTCTATTGTGTCCCAGTTTTCTAGACCTTTTGTCCCTGGACAAGGTATATTTTTAGTTAACTCAAACGTGTGTATGTTTTCTATTTGAATGTTTTCAAATACAGGTTATAGGAGGATTTTCTGACAAACTGTGGCTCACTTCAGTAATAATGCCATTGAAGCAGGATCATCAAAATTATCCACTCAAGCATCATGTAAAATTTTACTTTATCTCTCTGCACTGATACCGTCCCCCATATTCTCAAAAGCTTTTGATCATCTTATTGTCAGAGCTTCTATAACCCACTAGCTTTCTCATAGGTGAAATTCCCTATTTCAGAATTGAAAATATTAATAAAATGTTTGATATAATTTAACTTCGTTTTAACCATAAATCAAGAACTTGACACACGCTGTCACAAGGGATATAATTTTAGAGCTACAAAGATAAAATAAATAATGTGGGACTAGCTGATCTTAGTACATTAGGTGGGCATATTATCTTTTAGGGGAAAGGATATAGAAATGCGATGTTGAGATGAATGTTCTGCCAAACTCACTTACTAGTTGATGATGCACTGAATCAAACCACTGCCTAAGCGAGAATTCTTCATTCCTTTGCAGAAAAACTAGCATTATGGGATTAGAGCCTCTAGCCAATACTGTTGCTACTTCAATTAGTATTTCACATAGTACCCACCCAAAGACAGAAAAAGTTCTTTGTAGAAGAATTTCAGTCCTCTGCTGCCATGCTAACAGAAAAACAGAAAATAGGGAGTTTTCACTGAAATGTGATAGTTGATAACGTTTAAAAACCAAATGATAAAAAAAAACCTTTGTCAGTGAGCAAAGACATCCTGGTATAGTTCCCAAACTCAAAATTTAATGGGTCTGTTTTACAGAAAGATTTACTTTAAAGCAAAACTTACAGGAAATTCTGTATGTCTTCCTTATTGATGAAGAACACCTTATTTTCTTGTCTGTCTTATCTGCTGCATAATCTGTATGTCATTGCTTTGTATTCCGATGATGTAAAAATTCCAGGTTGCCTATTGTAAAGTATACCTCTCAACTTTCTTAATCTTCTGTGATTACTAAAAACTTCTATTCCGTTGTCTTTGTGAATCCTTGGAGCAAATAGGAATGTGAAGATATACCTGGCACTCATCAGGGATATAATCATGAAAATTACTAAATTAGTACACTGAGAGGAGCTTTAGCCTTATTAAGCTCATTTCAAAATGAGAGGATTTAGATAAGACTGCAATGAAGAAAAACTTGTTGTAATCCTTAAATGCAAGAAAGCTTGTACCTTTTCACCTTGTGATCAGTACGTGACTGACTTACATTTATTTTATCATGCCAAATCTTATTTTGTTAGCCTAGCCAAATATACTACTTTGTGCATCGTTATTCTGCTTTCTCTTCTGTATAAGATATACATCATAAGAGGAACTTGGAGGAAGATTTCATATAACAGAAAAACCCTTCTAATTACCTTTCTCTTTAAGGAGATGCCAGATATCCATTGCTTGGCCAACCCCTGCAATACAATCCACCATCTTTATTACGTGGACAAGTAACAAGCCAACAGGTATTAAAGAGAACAATCTCCTGGCAACACTGAAAAAAAAATTTCAGGATTACCATTATAACCACCATGAATAGGGGAATGTGTTACTGCATGAGAAAAGTAATTGAGTGGAAGGTGCTTGCTTTCCAATAATGGTTTTATTCTGTGTTGATACTTCCCATTGTTCTTATTTATTGTATTTAAAAAAAAAAAGTGAGAAACATTTTCCTAAAATTCAGCTTTAGACACAGTGTAGATTATGGGTTTTTTTTTTTAAGGAATTCGCCAGCAGTTCCAAAAATCACAGAGAGAATTTTTGCTAGAAGGATTTTCTTCTATTTGAATAACAATTTCAAAAAAAATTAGAAAATATATGTGGGTATTCCTAAACAAAGAGTGGGTTTGTTTCTCATAAAAAAACCAAAACCAAAATATTAGTGTTAGCAAGGCTGAACAGTTTTGCCATCTATTTAATTTTTGGGACAGACACTGAGACCCCCTACCTCTACCTTGCTCAGTTCTACCCGAGATCAGCCAGAAGATGTGATGGATTGGGGGGGGGGCGTGTCATTTCCTGCCTTTCTTCTGAAGCCAAGGATTGAATGTGCCTGACTGCAGGATGGCTAAACTCCAAGACTAAAATTGGACATGAAAATCTTTTCTGTACCATGGTAGCACAGGTTATTTTCCAGACATTCCTCTGCACTGTTTTTCACTGAGCTAACCTAGAAATTTTAAGATACTGGTCCATTGTCATTAAAGTACATAATTTACGTCAATCTTTCCAGTGTCAACCTGGAAACAGACATGGAAACAGGGGAAAGAAACCAGCAAAGAAGGCTGCTTCAGCAGATCTTGGTGCAGGAGAACCAGGTATAGAATTGCTGATTGACACAGTCCTCCAGAAAAATGAATTATGGTGATGGGCTGGGAATGTGACAAGAAAAACACAGGTGAGAAAAGGGCCAGAATGAAGAGAAACTGGACAAAAATGGACACGGCAAACACTGGAAACATAAGGATGGAGAGGAAGACTTGATTAGGAGAGAGGGGAAGAGGGAGGTTAAATGAGAAAAGTGTAGTTCTGAAGGCTTGGAGAAAAGACCAGAGAAGATCAGGATTGGACAGTACTAAAAGGAAAAGCAAGTTTGTCAGTTTACTGGACGTAAGTTCTATTATATTGTTACATTAAATATTGTTATAGTAAATATACATATCCCTGGTTCCTTTTACTTGCATGAAATGTGAAATCAAACATAAGCAACAAACGTTTGTACTTTTTTTTTTCCCCCCTTCTAATATAAATAAGCACATGGATTTGGGGGACATATTAGGAGATCTACAGATTAGCTCCTTGGAGTTGGTAAAGATGTCATCCAAATAAAACCTGACATTATCTATCTTCATATCTTTACTGGACAGAATTTTTGTTGCAAGTGTTTACCTACTATCAACTCTTTGCAGAAAGTTACAGATAAATCAGCTTTTTCTAACAATTTACTGAGGAGGATTTTTTGAGAGAAGACAGACTAGTTTTTTAGTACGGTGATGTGTGAAGAGTTAACAGACAAAGCCAGAGAGATGCTATAGTGAGTTCTCAAACCTGCTGCAAAATTAGGTGTTGATTATTTTATTATTTTTCCCTCTCTCTTTTGAGGGCCCTCTCCGTATTCTCAGCTTTTATTTGTATACTTGTAGCTGTAAGCAGTGCTAAATGTGAAAACAAAAGGCTCTCTAGAATACCAGAAATGGAATGCCTGTGTATTTGGTATCAGCCAACTGGAGATACAAGTAGAAATAACTCATTTTCCATTGTGTTTGTTGTATCATTAAGTACAATGACCAATTTAAATTCAATGTTTTTCTTGTTTCAGTTGTGGGAAAAGTTCTAGAAATTACTGAACTGCCAGAAGGCATAACTCGTATGGAAGCCGAAAAACTATTTGGAGAACTTTTAAAAGTTGGTGCCAAGATTCGGTGGCTAAGGGATTCGCAGTGTCTGCAAACACAGCAGCAGCACCATCGTCGTTACTGTGGCAGCGCAGACAGTAGCCTGAACACTGAGCCATCCAAACCTAGTGACTTGGCTTCCACTTACACGGTTCTAGCTACGTTCCCTACAATGTCAGCTGCTCAGAATGCATTGAAGAAACAAAGTAGTACCTCAGTGAACAAGTTCAGGCTGAGAACAAGCAAGAAGCACTACGACTTTCATGTTCTGGAAAGGGCTAGTTCTCAATAGCAGTAACATCAGTGGACACTCAGCCTTTACTACTTCCACGTCCTCCTCTCCTTGATCGGCTTGATGTTATGGGGTTTCTGTTCTCTTCATAGAGACTCCTGGGATGTTTTGTCATATGACATTAGCCACTGAAGAATAAATAACCCAGTGATCCAGCAAGATGAAGAAAAAAAAATGCAGTTAATCCCAGACAATAGCAAGGAATCATCTTTGAGACAGGCAGCTTTCTACAAGGAATGCTGTTGAAATGCCCCCTACTTTTATAGTAGTTTTGTTTTATATTTTTGAATTCTTGTATCAGATCCAAAGTTCTATTGTACAGCAAACGTTCATAAAAATCCATATTCAGATTTGTATTTTATAATCCCTTTTCACAGCCAGCACACAGCTGTCCATTCCAAGGCAGGAACCTGAGGATTGGTGGAGGGGAAAAGAGAACCATTTTCAAGGAATTACACTCATTTTCTAGCAAACTACCCCAAATCTTCAAGTTAACCTGTTCTTTGTCCCTTGTGGTTTTTTTCTTTTTTCTTTTTTTTTTTTTTAAGAAAAAAATACATGTAATTTTAGTAACTAACTCCTTAGATGGTAATTTTCTTTTGAGATTCCTTCAAGCAATGTCAAAAGAAATTACAAGTAGCTTGTACCCTTGAAGGATTCGCTTCTGATCCAACAAGTTGAATAATTATTTAAAGGGGAATATGAATAGGTTACAAAGAATGTTCACTGAATCACATTTTAATATTTCTTCTTTTTAGCAAAAGTGTGAAGAAACTAAAATGTATCTTCACAAGTGACAAAATGTTTGCACTTTAATTGTGTTCCCACCAGTATGGATCTCTTTCTTTTCCTTTTCACGCTAAGATAATTGTGTTTGATAAGTGCTGGAAACCTTTTTATGGTTTAAGTTTTCATCATTTGCAGATGCTCACTGGACATTAAAGATTCATTGCACATAAATGAAACAAATTTTTTTCAATTTGTGTAATTTGCAAGGCTGTACAATGTGTGCTGATGCAAGCCTTTTTCAGTTCAAGAAAATAAATGTTTACAAACACGAACTTTTTCAGTGCACTTGTTTAAACTTCTAAGAGTCTTCTGAACACATAGTAATGGTTTGGATACCTTCAAATGGGAGAAGAGAATGTAAAAATAACACAAATACTAGAACTTCTCAAAGAACCACTATTGGCTGTTCCTCTTCGTGAAGCATTTATTTACATTATCCTGCCCTTCGTCAGTGTTAAATGTTTCCCTATAGAAGTAAAAAGAGAGAGAAATTCATCAAACACCGTAAGGGACTGCTCCTGTTTTTTTATTTTTAGCACTGATTTGCTGTGTAGCTGAGCAACTATTTGTTCCTTTCTTAAGGCTATCTCTTTGTAAAAGATGCGTTTGTAACTTCTGTAAGTGGAAATTCAAGGTAAACGTGATGTTTAAAAACATATTTTACAGAGGAAAAGTAAAGAATTTAGGTGCCTAAACCAGCATTGATTTTCATCTTGTACATAAAAAATGAACAACCTGAACAACCAACCATAAACAAGTGGCAGGAACAGTCCTATGCATGTTCAATTCTTAAATACTTCACATGATGAATCGAAGTCCTTGGAAGAAAACTAACCTAGGAATAATGTAGCCTAATTAATTAGGTATATGGGACTTGATTCTGCAAAATGCTGTAGCAACAGGTATTTACGTGACTAAAGGTAAACTTAACTCAGATGCTCCCCTAAAACAGAGGGGAAAATGTTCAGCTTCAAGCCCCTAGGCAAAAGACAAATCTACTTATCCCTGTCTGCTTTTCTAAAAGGATGCTACTCCTTGACTGAATATACTGCTTGAATGAGGGGATATATTTCTTTCTCCTCAGGTTGGATTGCTGTAGTGTACTGCACCCAAAACCAAAGACGGTAAAAACCCCAGTTTATGCAGATTATAATATTCCCCTCCTCTGAGTAGCACAGAGATAACATGACTAACGCACAGGTTCTGTCACTGCCTCTTGCTGATTTCCAGTGCTAGTTTAAGTTTATGGTTTTAATCCTGTAAAAGTAGTTAACAGATAAAAGGTCTGTAATGACAGGTGTCACAACCCAGAGAGGCAGCTGCCTCCTGTGGCTAACACATTCCAGGACAAGATTTTTCATAGATGTAGAAGAGTAGTCAATAGCTGAAAGCTTCCATCCATTCTGAACGACTTAAGAACTAAATCTAACATCAAATCAAACCATTTCCAAAGGATGCTGTGTGACTTGCTCCATTTAATAAACTTTGCCCATAATAACCAAAGAGAAAAAAATGTAATGGGAGAGGTAAGCATGGAGAACACCAGCAATCCAACCAAAAGGAGGGGAGGGATACACTGATTAGGAACAAGGCCCAGCAAATATTTAATTCTTACCAAGTAAATTGTAAACTTGAGTGCAAATTGCCCTAGAAGAAAAAGTTAGAACACTTAATAAGCCAGTTGTATTCTAATCCTGAACCTGGTACTTACCTACGATTACTACAGGCAGGTCACCCTTTCTGAGTATGTTTTCCTGTGTTAAACAGGGGCAGTGACATATTTTTGAACTGGATGTGCTGATACAAGCCACACAGATAAAATTAACAGGACTTTGGAAGCGTCAAAGGTCTCTGATGTCTATAGTGGGCACAGAATTCAAATATTTCTTCTTTACAGTCTTGTTCATTCCTGATTTTGTGCTATTTCGTACTGACTCTAGTAAGTGAACAGGGTGTAAACTCATCTCACCAAGACCATTTGTACCATCCTGGCTTTTACACTTCTGCCCCTTTTGGTTCCTTAAAACACACAAGCCTAGGGACTGTGTACAAAACCCCTGGCACTAGATTTGTTCCATAGACTTGGATCATGTTCTAGAAAGCAAATAAATGCACTTTATGGTGTGAAATAGCTATTGTATGTAAAACTAGCATTCTCAAGTGCTCTCAACAAATCTAGTACTCTAGTGTATTTGAGTTTCCTGTCATTTAACATTAAAGCCATTTTTAAAGCAAATAGTGGCAAAAGGAATTAAGTGGGGACTTAAATTATGTTGCAGTAATTTAATACATTTCATTTGGTTGGGAACATGTCTTACAACTTTTAAAGCTGAGGAAAAAGCACTGGGGGAATAACCAGAAAAGCCAAACAAATCTGGCTATTACCTACTCCACCAAAGGCTACTATTTCTTGATTTTAAATTAATGCAGTTGTATTACTGTGTAAAATGCATCCCTGAACTGTGAACAGATTCAATGTTATTTGTGATATTACAGTGAAAATGATAATTCAAAATTAAGAAAACAAATTTAAGCCCCATATTTTGGCAACACTCAAAACCACATGGCCATGAGGCTGGATTCAGGTAGATCATAACAGCACACCCGAGAATCTACTCACAGCCTCCACATGGCTGCCAAACTACAGCCTCATGTGCCTCATGTTTCAGTAAGACTGGATTGGTATAAAGTGAAATGTTGGTAAACTGGTGGAACATCTACAAAGAAAGAAATCTAGCAGTGTGGTGTACTGAAGACTAGTGCTTAGGTGTTTCTACCTGCAACCATCCCTAGTCCTACTGGCCTTTTGTAGCACGCACATGATGTTTCAAGATCCAGGTGGTACAGGACACTGGTACGTAGATGGGAGTTCAGTTTTTGTCAAAGCATGAGAAGAATTGTTTAGCTTGATGAATCAAATAAGGTACTTCAATATGCAACATGCCTTTCACAGTAAGACCATTTTTTGTCTTGCGTTACTCAAACAGCTCTATGCCCTATTCCTGTCTAGTAATGCAAGCCCCTGCCCTCTCAAGGTGGAATAAGTAGTTATATTCTCATGCCATGACACTCATTTGTGCCTTAAAACTTCACATTTGACATGTTGTTTTGAGTTAATCTTGTACTAACTTGTTTGGATGTCTGAAAAGGAGTCAAAATTGCAACTAACTTCTTTCATAAGTATCTGGTTTAGCTCCATGACATATTTTTTCCCTAGAAAATTGGTGCGGGCTGTAATTTCCTGTATTTAGCCCTGAGGCAAAGAATATTTATATGAAGTTTTGGAGAAAACTGATCAAACCACTTTTATGTTACAGGTCATGAAAAATTGTTGTAGCTGGAATTTTTATGTATTTCTAGCTGAGAAAGGACTTACTTAAATCCCTTCAATGTTTCTACAGCTCAATCTTCATGAAGGTTGATGTGCTGCCTCTATTCGATGTCCTGCTCCTATTCACATTTAAAACGTTTTGGGTTTGGGTATTTTCGGCTATTGATGTCAACAAGTATAAACTTAAAGTGCGCAATGTCATTGTGGCCTCATTTTGGAAGCCTTACTTGTCGGTGTTGACCAGAACCCTTAAAAAGGCCTAATTTCCAAAACATTCTGAAAATTAAGTCCCTTTAAGTTCTCTTATTCTGGACCTGAGAGCAAAGTCACTATTCACATCTGAAAACTTCAGATGCAAGGTCCAGTGTAAATGAACTTGCCTCTTGGCTGACTTGAAAATGTGTGCAGTTACATTCCTACCACAACATGTACGAGCCTCCTTTCAGTTCAATGTCTGCCTTGTGTGTTTAGGCTCGGAGGGCTGGACTTTCGGATCTGACTCTGTTTGGCAGCCCCTTATTAGCAAGGTTTATTTTTTATCCTGCTTGTAACTACTTGACATTTTGCCATTTGTCAAAAATTTGTCAGGTTGAAAATGGATCCTGCTTAAGAGCTGGTTAAGAAACATTAAAAATTGGTCCGGGGCACAAACACTTCAGTGTTCGCTGCTTTTTTTCATTTTTCAGTCTTGCTGGTAAAGCACATGAGCCTAGTCATTCTATGGGATGCATGCAACTGTAATGAACTGATTCTGCACTTCTGAAAAGAAACTTGAATGTCAGATAAGAGTGCTGTAAACCAAAGAGCTATATAGGAAAATCTGTGTGTCGCTGATAGTTGTATGCTTTTAAAACTGGTATAAATTATAAAAATAAATTGCGCTGCTGTGGATAATGCTTAACAGTGAGGTTTATTCTTAATTCAGTTCCCATGCCGCAGTTAACTGAGAATCTGAATTAGACTAAGGATTGATGATTATACACCATGGTGACAGTAGGGAAATTTTTCAGATGCAGGTGCAACAGAGGTGGAAGGCATGCTAGAAGCTAGGTGCAATATGGACTAGCTTCAACCCTAAGTGATCAGTTACATTTGATTTCCCAAAATTACTTGACAGCTAACTTAAAAAAAAAAAAAAGCAGCAATATTGCACATCATACTTGAATTACAGAGGACCGTGGTTTGAACTTGAGAGGGGAGACACTGGCACTCCGCTTCTTTCTAGTATCTTAACTTTTGCATTAGTTGTAGGGTTCATTAGGCAGATTGATATGCAGTTCATTAGGGAGATTGCCCTTCTTATGGTTTCCAAATCAGTTACTCTAAGAAACAGCATTATTAAGTGTGCTATGATAGTCTATAAATCTATTGATTTATACATATTAGGAAATAACACCAGAGCTTGTCTCCAGATTTACTCAAATTTGTTGCCTTTTTACTTGGCTTAAACTGATACTTAGATTTGTTAATGAGCCATTGATTAGTGTGAAGCAACAGTGCAATTAAAAAAAGTAATTCACTAATAAAAATATCTTCCTTTTTAATAGAAAATTTTTTTTAAGAAAAATTTAATCTCTTAAAATGTAAATGACTGTCTTGCATTGTTTCCCATACTGATTGCTGAATTTGGTTTTGTGTGTTCATTTTAACAAACTAGCTGACATTTCCACAAGAGTAATAGATGTAATTTCAGTCAAATTTGGCTCCATATGTTCTGAAGAGCCTTAGACTTCCAATAGCGAATGTTCTAGAGGTGGATTGAGGCTTCCTCAGACCTTACAAAATGTGATTACAAGCAATTTGGGAAGCAGGCTGGTGATGAACACCTTTCAAAATGGTGTTCAAGAAAGGCTCAGGAAGTTACCCTCATCCATGTACAGTTTTCCTCGTCTCTGTGTGGTTCTTATTTGTGTACACACACACACGCACGTTTGAGAT